GATACTAGTATAAGAGTAGTCGAATGAATTCTTGCAAAGTAACTCTTTTCGCCCGCAGTAGAATTAGATAGACATAGGTCAAATAGACTTTGGGGTCTAAGCTAAAAATCCATGACCAGGTACGCTTAGGATGCCGCTTTGAAAATCGATAACGCACCGTATACCTGTAGCTATGCCTGTGCCGAGTAGCTCAGTGGGCAACTGCTAGCATGATCATCCTGTGGAAATGTTAACATTCCGAAGACGGTAAAGGGGGTAAGAAAAAAAAGCTACAAACATCATCGGCATGTTCGATCGATCCTATCAGTGGTTGGATCGGGCCGCGAATCAATCCTGATCTCGTGGTTGTTGGTTATATTCGTATGGTCCTTCGTCCTTCGTGGATGCGCAGACGTCGACGTCGCATAGGCGCCAAAGATTCCCTCTCTTGGCTGCGGGACGTCGATGTGCTCCCTGAAGAAGGACAGAGGCAGTAAACACCCTTCAGGTGGAAAAAAGAGAGGGTGCTACTCTAGAGTAGAGCAGAGTGGTCGAGGGAGAGGATCAGAACGCAAGGGCAACATAGACGCCAGGAGTGAGCCAAAGAGGAAGCAGCGTGGCTGTATGTCGTGGCAAGGAGTGGATTCGAAGAGATAGGGGTTTGTTTGACGTAGAGGAAAGGAGAGAAAAACTAAATCGAGTTACCAGAGTGCAGAAAGGATAGAAGTGAAGTTTGGAGCAGGAGACTCGAGGGAGGTAAGGGGATGATGAGGATCCTGAGGAGGGAATTGAGGGAGGGTTGGCCGTAGGGGTAGTGAATATGCGCGTGCGTAACCCGCCAGGTTCTCGTACCCGGTCGTAGGGCAGTCGTTCTTTCGCCGTTCCCTCGTTTAACGAAATTATTCCGTCGCTAGGATTGCACCTCGCGCATCCAAGGATTGGCCACTCCTCGAGGACGTCTTTCGTCGTGCGGGTTAGTACATCATTATACAACGTTATCGTAAGTCTCCTCGCGGATCCATAGAGTTTGCCCGCCTGACTGGGCTATCGTCAAACGAGGAGACCAGCACGCCCGTTATCCAGTCTATCTCGGCTTATTGATTTCCGCAGAGAACCATTTTGACAAAGTTCAATACAAGAGAAGCATAGATCAATTTTTTCGAAAAATTTAACCTGCTCCAATTTTTCATATTGCCTCAATCTTAGCGTACAGCTAATTTACCTCATCAAGTACCCCTAGTGATACAGGTTCGCATACTCGAAAAAAAATTGCACCAAGTGACCACTTAACACGAAGCATCCCCCGTGCGCTTGAAATCCACCGAAGGTTTCTAAAATTCAAGATGCAGTTATCCAGTGTGTCACCCTCATGAGACGAGCCAATTTTTCACGAGCATCCAGAACACCTCGTGTCTCTATCGTCGAAGGGGGTTTCGCGCGAATGCGACGCGTTCACGAAAAGAGGATCCGATCGATCGATAAGCTCAGGAAGTGAGGCTACTTCAATTTTCCCAACTAAGAATACACCGGTGAAGTGTCAATGTGAAGTGGTTGGAGTGGGCTGGAGTGGCGTTTCAGGGTGAGGACATCAGTAGGGTGGAGGCTGAGTTTGCAAGGGTTTTTTGAGGCTAGGATTGAGGCGTATTCTCCGCACCTCCTTGTCAAACACCGACGACTGCATGTGACTCCTGCCGGTCGAAGAAGTTGGCTTCGATTAGCCATTGCGTTTTCTCGGATTGCCTGCTTCGATTATTGCACACCCCTTATACTTATTAGCCCTTTATCTCCGCCTTTCCCCCTCGCACCTGCTCGGTCGCCCTCAAGATCCTCTTCTCTTTTTTTTTCATCATCCCACCCAATGAGCCTCAGGAAAGGTTAGATCGAGACTCAACGTTGATTCGAAGGATTCTCGCAAAGAACCGAGAGCGAGCGAGTTACGTGGGCGGGGGGAAGAGGGTCAGAGAGAGCGAGAGAGTATCGGGCGTTCGAGTACGCGCGGTCCGCCATTGATTTTTGGCCACTCTTTCCTACGTCCACTCGTCCACGTAATAGTGGAGAGCGGAAAGTCAACTTAGGAATACGAATATAGATATACCTAACTTATTGACATGGATTTCCGTTCAGTTATGACTTGGCAAGTTGAATTATTAGGATATGATAGTTGTATGCACAACTGTTTTGATATTGTCTTACATCCGAGTTCACCTGTAGATATTCTACTCTACTTTCAGGAGCGTCCTGAATGATGCTCAATTGACGAGGACGACGCTAGGAATGGCCCCATACAGTTCTGTTTTCCTGGGTGTCTGGGGAGTCTTCGTTCTAACGTTGATTCAAGGTACGCCTTCATATATCACAAGCCTTCAGTACAGTGTAAGTCCTGTCTCGCTAGCTGATTCGTGCAATTGACATTATTACAGAATCCAAGCCAGTAAGCTGGGAAGAATGGTGGACGTACGACGGTATATCGGGTAAGTGGAATAAAATTTATTGGTTATCAGTAACTTGTGCAAGAGTACGATGAATTCAAGAAATATAATGAAATACGAATACTGTACAGGCCCTGCATTTTGGGGACTTATAAACCCGGAATGGTCCCTTTGCAACAAGGGCAGAAGACAATCGCCGGTGAATTTGGAACCAACGCGTTTATTATTCGATCCAAATCTACTGCCACTTCACCTGGACAAACATCGCGTAGGCGGCGTCCTAGCAAATACGGGGCACAGCGTCGTCTTCACGGTAGACAACGACACACGGCATCCGGTTAATATTTCCGGCGGTCCTCTGAGTTATCGTTATCAATTCCACGAGATTCATCTCCATTATGGATTGCACGATCGTGCCGGCAGCGAACACACAGTGGACGGTTATGCCTTCCCGGCTGAGGTAATGTATAATAATCATCGTATAAACTATTAAATTGTCTAATTGCAAAATAAAATATTACTATCCCATTAAAAAATTATACCCATTGTGTTTATAATAATTCACGTTAATCTATCAACAGATTCAGATATTTGGCTTCAATTCTCAGCTGTACAATAATTTCTCGGATGCCCTCCAGCGCGCCCAGGGTATCGTTGCCGTTTCCTTATTGCTTCAGGTACGTGCTCTATCGATAGATCAGGATTCATTTGTACTCCGCATCCGCGTGTCCTCGAATCAACGAGCTCGTGGACAAGATCAGCACGATACGTGATTGATCGCTTGATCTTACAGCTGGGAGACCTCTCGAATCCGGAGCTAAGAATATTTACGGAGCAGCTCGCGAAAATCAAGTACGGAGGTAAGGTTTAGAAGGGGTGTGTAAACTCCAGGATGGGGATTACCCAGCTAGATATGTATGTATGTATGTACATACTGTCAGTGAGACAGGCTGAGATATATCTAAAGGACGCTAATAGAGTATATAGAGATATATTTGTATGTACATAGAGAGAGAGAGAGAGAGAGAGAGAGAGAGAGAGAGAGAGAGAGAGAGAGAGAGAGAATTTTAGCTACATATGTGTCTACCTATTTACTACATTATATGGATAGATAGACACATATATTAAAATGGCGAAGGGTTGAGAGCGAACGTTCGATGCATATCGCACACGTACGCCCGCGTCAGCTTGAGATTATCGACCGTACGAATATTGCACAGGGGAGACCATGGAGATTAAGCATTTCGCCGTGCGAGAACTCCTGCCCGACACGAAACATTATATGACGTATGACGGTTCCACGACAATGCCCGCCTGTCACGAAACCACCACGTGGATCATCCTGAATAAGCCGATATACATAACGAAGCAGCAGGTCAGAACCTTACCCTACATTTCAAGCTAACCTACTTTGAACAATGATTCTCATATATCTTGACGCTCCTGAGTGCCTTCCCTCAAAATATGCCACTGATGTTGCGTAAGGACATAATGTCTTTGTAAATTCGTTACAGCTTCTCGTGCTGCGAAAACTCATGCAGGGCGACGCCAGGCATCCGAAGGCGCCGCTTGGTAATAATTTCAGACCTCCACAGGCTCTTCATCATCGTCCAGTAAGAACGAATATTGACTTCAGTGTTCAGGTAAGCTGAACACGTGTAAATGGAATACTGAAAAAATTGTAATTCAATGGAAGATTTGTATTTGGATTATTATTATTATTATTATTCATTTCAGGGCCCGAGAAACTGTCCGACGATGAACAGGGACATATATTACAAAGGTGAGTATTCAATACTCGATGTTGGATCGTTCTTTGACGTAATGAAATGATGACTCGGTGTTCGATTTTGAAAAATCAAATCTTAATGATCTTTTTCATGGCTTTACAGCGAACAGCTGGAAACAACCCTGAAGACCGACGAGAACCTCGTACGATTCGCAGTACTACGCTTTTCCTCGAAGGAGCTGGGACTTCATTGTAAAAAAAATCGACATATCAACACGCGCGCGCGCGATAATCACGCGGATCCGCGAGCGCCAAGGATTCGCGGATATTCGCGAGAAAGAAGTCAAATACTTGAAAAAAAAAAATGGCAAAAAACTCCCCCCTACACGCAATACAATATTTCTATAACGAACAGCAACAAAGGAGACAGGTGATAACACATGAGCACGACGAGGGCACACAAACACAAAAACACAAAAAAAAACAAAAGTCGCATACAAAGGAATAAGAAAAAAAAATTGCATGAAAATGGGAAAAAAAATGCTTTGTTGTAAACTTATTAGACGTGAATTGCCAAGTATGTTTCCAATACAGATAACCGATAGATTACTTAGCCAATTAAAGAAAGAAAGAAAAAAAGATTAAAAAAAGAATTACCGTAAGAGTATATGATATGTTATACATATATCAATAACTATCGAAAAGCTATGACTATCGTGGCCTGCGAGGGTGAGATGCGACTATGTATAAAATACGTGCGCGACAAAGCGTATTATCGGATGAAAAGTTTATACTATATTTTTCTAATAAAACTATGAAAAATGTATCGAAGAATTCTCGTGGGTTCGATTTCTCTGTAAATTCCACTGAGAGAGATAATTACGTGCTATCGGATATATACGACTGCTCCACGGATTCCTTTTTTCTAGCTCGATGAGAACCCTGCCTAAATTGTGCGCCTGTTGCTTCTCCAACAGGCAAGTCCGAATGCTCACTTCCGCTTTCCAGCCGTACACATTTCCTGTGACTCCATCTACCTTTCGAATAATCGTTTAAATGTTCAAAGATCCGTTAAAGTCTTATCACAATGAAAGGACCCTCGCAAGTCGAAGGACCATCTCGCTATAGTAGTCTTCTTAACACGCAACCCTTAATTCCACTAATATCACCTCCTACAATCGAGTTACGCACGTTAGGTATCGATCCTCTGTAGTCCAATAGGATCACCTGCCTGGCCTATCCGGAAAATTAATCCTGGATCATGATTATTCATCCCTATGGATAGTAAAGAAACGGTATGAAAACATGGAAATATTAGATATCGACGTGTTTGGCAAACAGTATGGAAGTCTGAAATATTCAGAAGTTCAGCAAATCGATGCCTCGAGTCTCGGACTTCAAACGAAGAATGAGCGGCTAGTGAATAATAAATGGTAGTGTTGTTATTGGGAGATTGAAAGGTGTCACGGGATTTGAAGACGATTCTCCCACAGTGGTATGTTTCCAGTGAGAGGATTCTGGGATGTCAGCGTACTAGAGTGGCAGGGTGTCCAAGGTGGCTGGAGGCAGATACTCCCGGGTGGAAGGGTATGGTCGGTGGCTAAAGGCTACCGAGGGGGGTGGATTTCATTGAACGCCCCCAGAATTCGACGGTGCTGCTCCGGCGGCTATGCGGCAAGCGAGAGCCGGGAAGGGTGAGATACAGGGTTACGGCTCGTCGTCGCTGCGGCAAATCTGCGGGAGTGCGTAACGTCGCCCGGCGATAATATATCAAGGAATTCAGTTTAATATGGGAAGCTGCACCCGGCCTGGATTAGGGTGACAGTCAGATCCCACGAGTCGCGAGTATTTTCGTCACGAGCACTGCCTGCGATACCTTACCGCCACAAGGATCCTCGTGGACTCTGCGAAGAGATACGTTATTGTCGCAAGACGTGTTACTGTGGCTCAACGTTAAAACGGGCATGAGATATTCTCAACTGGAACGTCCTTTGCTTCACGCACATCCTTAATTCATCCTCCGAAGCAGTTTATCCAGAGTTTTCTCGGAGGTGCATCGAAAGTCAAAGCTGTGAGGAGGGTAGCTGTTCTCGTTGCCACAATAAACTCCTCAGGCATTTTTTTCAATTCAACCCATTTTAAGACAGACGGATACAGGATTTTGTCTGGTTGTGGAAGATATATAAATTTTTGGTAAGTTTATGACTTTTTAATTCATTTCATACGATTCATATAATATATATTATATAGATATACACTGAATATTGGATATATAAAATATTGGTATATAATGCCTATTCTATTTTTCTAATCAATTCTATTCGTCAGTCTTTACTGTATGAAAAAAATTTCTGATAAAAATATAAAAATTGATAAACGAGAGCAAAATAAGATTAGTGATGAACGATGGGAAAAAATTGACAATTTTCAAAATCAATATGTCCATGTTATAAAACGGCAACGGTTAACCGAGAACGAGGTGTGTTGGAAAATTTTGCCATTCGATACGGTAATTAGGGGGTTAAGTTGGCGTGAAAAAAAAAGTGGAAGAAAACGGTGATACATTCTGACTAAGCATTCTCTCTAAAGTGGAAAATGTACCCGAGGGTGCTGCGTGAGGGTTACATTTTTGGCAGGGACTATCTTTTCCCATCCCTCGGCCACCTCGTCAGACTCCCCAGACTCAGGGGATGAAACGCTTGGCCGTATCGAACGATTCCAATTACGTAGATTGTCGACGATCCAACGAGACGACTTCAGTCTCCTTCGCTCTGCACCTCTGGCTTCCTGTAAATTCCTATAGCAAGGACAAAGACTCTAGACCGAAGCATTGACAACCCTGTTAGCTACACGTATATCGTATTGCCTAACACGACTATCAATAATACTATTACTACTAGTGCTGTCTCTTACTATATCACCATCACTAGCATCATACGACTCCGACTGGCTTCGATGTCATCTCATAGGTCATCGACCGACCCCACCAACTTGGTGGGACAGTACTATGACAAAGGTCAGGTGCAATGGTAATAGTATCGCTTCACTCTGTCTCGACGGGCACATCGCAAAGTTTCGTAACGAGTGACAAACTGTTCAGGATGTTAACCGCCATCCTCTTTGAAAAGCAAGTGGAGTAGCTTAGTTATACTTGGTTCTGGAAATGGCATCAAGTCACGAACGTGCTGCGGAATTTCGGATGACCTGCCTTATCAGTACTCGACCTTGCTCCTAGTGTCTTTGATATGTATGTCAACCGGCAACTGCTTAAGGGAACCGGGAAGTACTTTTTAGCTTCAAAATAGAATGTAACTCGTAACTCGTAGGAATATGATAATAAATTCTCATGCTAACGCGGTGCACACAGATTTTTTCAAGCTGAACTGTTACGTACATGATACGTGTATACGGAATAGTAGAAGAATGAAAGTGGGACGTGCATGCAATTTTTTGACGTGAAGGATGCTCGTGCCAAAATTTGGCATGCATCTCCTGTCTTTATTTGGCAATTATTCAATATGAAAGTGTCATTTTAACAACTTTGGAACTTAGTACACAAATTTGCGTGCACTAGAGTCCGATAAGGATGATTCAACAATTCGCTGTAATTAACGATTTTCGTGATTGACAATTCAAGATGGCCATTTTCATTCCCCAGTCACCTTAAGTAACCTGATATGTACGCTTGTACTTTGGCTTTGAGCATCCTTAGACTTACGATGAGACACTATTCTCTACATGTAGGAATAACTTTGCAAGGGCAAGGACTTTGAATAACGTTAGAGCTAGATGAATCTATGTATACTGGAGTTACACGAGATGTTTGCCTTTGTTGGGAATAAGGGTCTTAAAGCAGGATTAGTTTCATGTCAAGCGTTTACACGAGAAAACTTCTAATGCCTTGGCAACATGGTGATACTTGAAGAAGTAGAAAGAAATTGTTTATTTTTTTGCAGAAACAAACATCATGGACTCCAGATGAAATGTAGGTTGACTTACTCTGGGGCAGGATGCTAAAGGAAGAATCAGCTACTGCTATATCGCTTTCACGGTGCTCCGAGTCCCCACGGGAAAAGAAGCGACCATGAGCAACCCTTATAAACTTTCCCTGAGAGGGAAGATGGGCCTTGCAAACCAGGAAGACCGCTTGAGTAAGATTTTTTTTTCATTATCTACCATGAAATTTACTCGGGACGACATAAACGACGTCTTACGACTGAAAAAGTTCATCACTATTTTACCAGGGGTTGATATTTATTTACCACTTCTCCTCTATTGCAGGTTCAACCCCATATCATCCTGGTCGAAGCTTTCTTCACGCAAGACCCGACTCTGCGACGTGTTTTTAATACTTAAGATTTTTCGTAACAATCTGCCTAAGTGAATGGGATAGATGTACTGACCAGGATACACCGGTGTTATGTTAGTAACACGAAGTCACCCTCTTCGAGGGCGTATTCTACTCGCCCTATTCTTGATAATCGCGAGTTTCGCCCTGTTGTCGCGGGCGGCCGCATTTCCGGACTGGACCGACTGTCCAGCGGTTTGCCGTTGTAAGTGGACTTCCGGTAAAAAATCAGCACTCTGTCCTGACGCTGGTTTGACCTCGTTGCCCGCATCCCTCGACCCGGATATGCAAGTGCTAGATCTATCAGGCAACAAGATCCCTGCACTACAATCTGAAATTTTCAAGCGTGCAGGTTTACTCAACTTGCAAAGAGTCTTTTTGAGAAACGCAGGCATTCACGAGATTCACGTGAACGCTTTTCACGAAATGCGAATTCTAGTCGAGGTCGACCTCACGGACAATCATGTGAGCAGTTTATATCCGGAGACCTTCCTTGGAAACGAGAGACTGATGATACTTATACTCAATGGCAATCCACTAGGCACTTTGAAGAGCCATCAATTTCCGGTATTGCGACACCTGCGCACTTTGGAGCTGCAGAGGTGCTCGCTTACGGAGATACACAGGGAGGCATTCTTAAAGTTGTCCGGTCTCGAGTCGTTAAGACTCGATACGAATCAACTGGAGTATCTGGATGCTGGTGTAATTTCTAATTTAACGAAGCTGAAGACTCTTACTCTGGATGGAAACAGATGGAGTTGCGACTGTCGACTCAGGAGTTTCAGGCTCTGGATGATACCAGACAGTAATCAGCAATCGCCTAACAGACTCTATTCGGTACCACAAACCTGTTTATCTCCGGCGAGATTGCAGGGACGTCGATGGGAGGAAGTTAAACCGAGTGAATTCGCCTGCATGCCAGAAGTCTTCGTGACGGCGAGTACTATTTCGGAGGACACTAACGGGAATTTAAGTATATCCTGTTTGGCCACCGGTGATCCAGAGCCTGAAGTTTGGTGGCAGCTGAACGGCGGTCCTGTTAATATAACCAGAGGAGATCAGCCATACGGAAGTTACGGCACCTACGGTACTTCCGGCGACGTTTATAGTGAAATTTACGGCGTGACAAAGATTACGGAAAGGTGGAGTAATTTGACTGTATATAACGTAAGCGACAGTGATGCTGGAGATTACGCCTGCTACGCCAAGAACGTAGCTGGACAAGCAAAGGATACAGTTCACGTGGCCATACCTCGTGTCTTCACCGCGCCGACACTCTCGCAAACGGATAATTGGCTACTGTGGGTAAGCCTTGCAGGCGGCGGTGCAGCAGCGCTGTGCGCCTCCATATCTGCTGTTCTATTAGCCGTCTGCCTCTGCGGTGGCTCCAGGCGAAAGAGACGAAGGGAGAAGATCAAGCTTCAGGGTAGCACGAGTTTCGGGGACCAGGAAAAAAAACTACTAGACCTCTCAGTAACAACAACAACCGGGGGCAATGGCAACAGTACAGACCACACTAGCGCTCGTGGTAGTCTAATAGAAGCTTGCAGTCCTGGTGACATGGAACTCGTTGAGCGAGGTTCCATCTGTGATCCGATGGGTGCAGCAAGTGTAACGATAGAAAGACACAGACCAGAGAATGTCGCAGGTACCATCAGGGCGATACCCTGCACTGTCTTCCCACCACCGCCACCAGAGTTCACAACCAGCGTCCTGCCTGCCGGCGTTTTCGGCAATATATTTATCTCGGTCTCCCTACCTCAAGATGCCGAGCGTCGTTATCCAGACCTCCTAGACAACCCCGTCCACGCGAGTATCGCTGAAAAATCAGCAACAGTGAATCTGCCACCAGCGGCTACATGTATTTCAAACTTTGCGACACTTCCGCGTCGGCCACTTCGTGTATCGGACCTTGGTTCACCCTACGACAATATGGGACCTCGGGTCACGGCTACAGGAAGTTCCACATTTTCGTTAACAGACCTGAACCTTCGACTATCACCACCACCTCCGCCGCGCGTCATTCAACCACCAATCGAGTTCGTTTCTCTATAAGATTTCATGTAGAAGATCACACAGACTATAGTTTCCTGTCCTATAAATTCATGTCCCTACATAACCTAACCTTATCTGATCATTACCTCATCTGTTCTTACTTTGTCTGTCTCTGTTGAGTGTCCGTCAGTTTGCCTGTCTGCTTGCTTGCCTGCCTGCCTAACAGCATGACTGTTACGAGTGCGTGTAACCCAAGAGTGCGTATATCTTCGTGACCTCTTCGATACGACCTTAAGAATAGTTCTCTACGACATAAAGACTACCTCCATGATGATGCTCCTCTGTGACCCAGTTCTCTACTCCAGTTTGTTAGATAAGAGCCCAAACGGAGCCATTGTAAATATTTCACAATTTCTTCGGACTAATAACTAGAACGATTAAGAGTATATTAGAGTTGGAGAAATGATCTTTCATTCGTTCGACCCTTGTATCACTAGTTTGTTAAATCTACTTGTGTACATATTTGTTATTATACATACATATACACACTGAACAGACATACGTACGCACATAACATGCGACAAACATACATACATACATACGTACCATACATACATACATACGTCGGTATTTATTATGAACGCTTTGTCAATTAATAAAATGATTGAATTTTATATCGTGTTATCTTTATTCAGCTATACCGTGCCATCTACTTTTTCCGTATGGGCCGATAACAGGAAACAAATTATATTCAAAATATTTGTTACTGCCTCAATCGCCAGACTGTATTACAAGATCAATTTGAAAAAAGTATTAGAGAGTGAAAAAAGATGCAAGGTAGGTGATGACGTATTAATTATCTTTAAAAGAGAGATCAGACATTAACATAAGAGTGGCCCGTACGTGAGTGCCGTTACGATTATTTAAATTAACATAGGTCTGCCTTATGATGTCTCTTAGATTATCTCATGCTGCCATTATTCGCAAATTTTCATTGCCATCGGATGAACAGACGATGCTCTTCACGTGAATGTTGAAAATTTATCCCTGGATCCATCCGGCTCAGGTTCAAGTACTAAGTCCTCATGGTGATTGGAACGTTGCTGCAGGTCAGTAATTTTTACAAGGAAAAGATGCTCTTGTAGAAATCATCCTGAAATACGCATGGGAATCCATCCAGGTACGGATTGTGTAAATTTCCAACAGGTATGTACCTAATGAAATATATACTTTGAGGAGAAAAAACTACGTCCCAAGGTAGACGGATAAATCTGCTGCGGCGACGTTCCTGATGATGACCTTTGCGTCCACTATGTTCCAGACGCGGACCAAACCACATTGCACCGTTACCTAGAGAAATCTTCCTCAGTTTGCCCTCAGTTGTCTCACAACGTCCTATACGGACTATTGGCATAAGACCTTGTATCTCCTGCGGAGTCTCCGGGAACGAATGTATATCCTGGATAGGATGTTCGCTCTGGCTACTATCCGACCGTACCGACGTGGGAGCTGAAATGGGAATTTGGAAATAGGCAAACAACCTTAGCACACGTATGGTATGTATTTATGTACTCATTTACATATAATAAGTTTATATAGCATGTATGCCTTTACATATTTGACACGCTTTACATGTACAGATTTGGATTCTGTTGCTGGAGGAAGTTAAAAATATGGTTCACGGATCCACTGATCAGCCATATTCTTAGGGATCAGGATGGAGCTTAGTTGAGGACGCTGGTTGCGGATTTAAAATATCGTCGGAATAAAGATTGCTGTGAATTTACTTATATTTATTTATCCAGGTATGTATATTTAATACAAGCAAGAGACAAATTATATGTGCTTCGTTCCAGTAGGAGATTAACCTTCTCGGTATCTTCATAGTGATGTTCGTTCTCCTTCTTCAGTTGTATTCCTTGTCTTGTTAATAATCCGCAATGTCTTACACTCATTCTTCTGTTCGTCTTTTTTTTCGGGCAATTTTTCAGTCATCCTTTTATACATTTTTTTTTTATATTCGGACACTGCCAATTATCACTAGACAAAAAACCGCTGTTGTCCTGAAGCAAAGGAAATCATTGTATATTTCGTCATAGCGGATACTCCATTCTTTATTATGACAATCGTATTCAATAATTTTATTCGTTCACTATTTATTTGTCATTGCTATCGTTATATTCAAACTTACCTATTTCTCTATGATAAATTGCGTAGCGCACTATTGGCGAGTTTAGAAAGAATCGGCGAGAAAAACAAAACTCTCGGTTTCTCTCCTGAAACATTGAAAACACAAATCCGTACATAATGCAAAAAATAGAGATTAACTGTCATTGAAGTTTAACGCGGTTACTTTATATGGAATTCGTGTTGATTTCATTGAGAATGCAAGGAAGGAGAAAGCAAAGAAAGAAATTGAGAAAAGGGAACTTTTGCTTTACTATACAAAATATACGTTGTTTCAACAGCTTTACGTTTGTTGGAACGCCGAAATAACATTTGCCTACATCGGATTCACAGTTACAGAAACTTACCTTGATACTCCGTATCCATCATAATATCAAGTTCTACATCAGGATCAACCTCTCCTACGGGATCGGCGTCTACATCGGGTTCCAATTCACGAATGACATTGGGTGGTGCACCAGATCGTCCTTGCAAAGGTCGACGAAATACTCCCACGGCACGTTTTATGCTGGGGCAATTAGTCATTGCCGGGGCTCTTCCTACCCTAGGATATGGCACCAAACCTGCGGCTCTCCTCTCGTTCTTGATCTTTTCGCCACCTGATAGCAGGAAGAGAATCGTCAAAAGTTTTGTGAAATTTCAAGGATTACTTCGCTGAAGTTTGATAACAAAGAGATGCATTGTTCAATACTTACGATTTAGTGAAGTTGTTACTACTAGTAGTACAAGCACCAAAGACAGATGATTTCTCATTTCCAGAATAATGCCGCAACGACGCTAAAGTATCTACTAAGTGACTACGGAAAAGTAAATGAGGAATAACGTTTCTCTGCGAGGGTTTGCAACAGAACTGGATGCCAACACCTTATCGGACGCGGATTTTATACCTCGCGCCCTGGTCCACGATGAGGGTTGAACCTACGCTTTGATCTCCCCCTCTATCCTTCGAGATAACTCCTGCGCATCAACATCCAGGATCCAACGACCACCCACCTATCCCCTCGAGTAACGAGTAGCACGAAGCTCCTTAGCGTTTCCTACTTCAACTAATTAAAATGAGATTCTCTACGAAAGCCAAATTGTTACTCTACCCTGGCTTGCATTGTAGAGGCTAATATTATATTTTATTTTGTTTTTCATTTTCTTAGAACAATCATATACTGCGGACATTCAGACTGTGAATAATAAATCATTGTTCAGTGAAAGAGTGACGTGATTATTGTTTCCAGAAATGACCGACGAGAAATTCTCTTGTAAAATGAAAAGATTATTCAGCGTACATCGCTATAAGTTTTTTAAAAACATCAATATACCTGTGGAAAACCCGTGATCACTGAAAACTCATTGACGACCATATTTTTCTTTAGCTGGATGTATGAGTATATATTGTATATATTTATGAAAGGAAAGAAACCATAGCGACACTAGACACCAGTATCTTTCTTTGATAATTATTTGCTCTTAATGCAAACTTCTTAGCTTGTACGAAAGAAGATGGTATTTTTCACTCGACCACTTGATTCCCTTTTTTTTATTTTCAAGTTTCTGCTCATTCCAAAGCTGTGCCAGGATATAGCATAAGGAATATTACACGGCCAAATTAAATCCTTGATCGTATCTTGTTACTCGTAGAGCATCAAGTGGAGCCCTGTACAATTATTCTCCTTTTATTACTTCAAAGTATCGAAACAAGAGGCTTCAACGCCAACACGATAAGTCTGTAATGACGAATCCTAATTATATAGGAAATAAAAACTGTAACGCTCAATAAATATCGTACAGTGTAGTACCAATATATTGTATATTTATTCCAGCAGTCGTTAATACGTGATACCATTCGTAACTGCTAGCTTATACTGATTACTGTGCCCGTGACATATCCGTATGGAACTATAAACATTATAATCTGCAAGTTCTGAAAGCTTTTATTTACTTTTTTCTCCGATCATCATCACAATGTAAAGTAATCAATATCATCAGGACATTTAACATTTGTTTTTAATTTGCCCTGTATCTTCACGTTTTGATAATCGGAGCGAAATTTGAATTCTAAGGCCTAATCTACGTAGAAAGATTGTATAGCATCATTCCGAGTAAATGTTTCGTAGGATTAAGTTAACTATGATGTAGTAAACGGATTCATGAAGCTTCTCTCATTTGCATCTACATAGCCGAACGGCCGATCGTTCATTTAAATATAAAACGACACCAACAAGGTTTGCAGAGGGTATTGTATACTTTTTTAGAACACGTAGTTCACGTAGCGTACTCGTTTGCACTTTCACGACTGGTTAATTAGATGAAATTGATTTTCTTATCTTATAACTTGATAAAACATATAAAATTTTAGTCGTTGTATTACGAATTAGTGGAATATTAGATTTTTGAAATACATATATACGGGTAATATGCTCTTTTTCGTAATGCACGTAATGCTGAAACTTTTTGATCTGCAAAAAGATATTTCAGAGTCTGCCGCGCATAATGCGTACCCTGCAAATTATTTCGTCTAACTGATGACTCCTTGCGTAATTGAATTTATAGTTGATAACTCAGCTCTGTAATTTCACGTAAATCTTCATTTTGTAATCCACGTCTAATGATTCGGCGCAGATAAATGGTGCAATGATATAGGCGGGTGGCTACACCATCTTAGAAATTACGGGAAACCCTATTGTACTGTGAGATGGATATTAAGATAGGTATACGTATATAATTTATGATTGATAATAACATACATATAATTATGAATTTGCAGAACATAGTTGACAACTTTGTCAATCACTTTAATATCACAAATGTATGATACATAAATCATGTATAGAAGCATATTTCTTTATTTATTTAAAAGATATTCGGCAGCGTAACGATACATAGATGCATTGATTTTCCTCAGTCTTTCCATTTCAACGCGTGCATCTATCAAACTATCATTGAAATTATCATTATTAAGTTCCATTGAATGATTCTCATTACCTATAAAAGCTTCATAATCAAGTAAATGAGAGTCGTTATGACTCGATACAATTTCAATAAAGTCGTCTTTGCTAGAATCATCTGATATTCTTTGTAGACTCTTCACCAGGATCTTTTGATGAAGATCTTGAGCTCGAAAATTCACGAAGGCTTTCGTGAAAAATGCAGTAGTAATGGGACCTTTGTGTTGAATGGTTTTCGTTATTTGGCGACTGGGTATGTCCCAGAGATGAAGTGCACCATCGGTAGATCCTGATAACAACGTTCTACAATCGTTCGATACTGACAGAGCTACCACGTTAGATTCATGTCCACGAAAGATGGCACTGTTATTTTTTTCGGTGTCCACATAATGATCCGTACCTCGTGGTGGATCGTATAAATTTATCTTTATAATCGTTCCGTTAGAGCAGCCAACAAGAAGCTGTGTTTCTTTTAAATCCGTGGTAACGGAGGTGAGTGGAACATCAAATATTAAAGTTAAGAGTAAAATTCCACTGACAGAATTGTATATTCTAGCTGTACGGTCTAAAGAAACGGAAATGAGACGTGAATGAGGACCAAATTGACCAAAATGCAAATCCTTTACGGGTAGAGTATGCTCTGCAAAGCTGTGGCTTGGACTTTGTTGCTCTTTGTGATTAATCACTTTGCTCAGGGACCATATGAACACTAAACCATCCTCTCCGCCAGTAGCAAACGTTGATCCATCTTGAGTGAATTTCAAACATGTGATAGTCTGATAGTGCCGAGCTAGTGTAGTCAGAAGTCTACCACTATTAGTTTGCCATATAAATAACTTCTCGCTGATCGCAGCTACTATGTACAAGCCATTTGGCGTACATGAAAGAGCTGATACTTTTCCAGGAGTTGTTAGACGAATATTAGACACAGGTGTTTGACTGTTCAATGGCCACATGTAAAGTTTTGGTTTTGTCGAATCTGCTGCCAGAATGTAACTACCATTTAGTATCTGTAGAGTATGATATCCTACTGGTCCACCGTTTCTGTATGATGATAGTAAAGATCCTGTACATGGATCCCATACAGCTGCATTTGTTGATTCATCTGAATTGTTGCTGGTCACAATCACTTCTTTAGTAGTCTGCATCTCTGGTTAGATAGGAATTATTTTAGAAATTCGAAAGGTAATGCAATTTGCTTTATGAAACACACGTGGTACTTGACTGACTTCAATTATACAGCATGATCCTCAGGATAGGTTAGGTCACGATGTTAATCGGAATGTTAACGCTTTCCACGTACTGATCTAAAAATAAAAGAAAAATTTAATATGTAGCATATACATATAATTCATATCAGTACATACGTTTATAAACAAATTAAATTTCCAAAAATATTGATTTTTCTTTGCTTTTATATTATCCATAGAGTCCTTCCTTCCTTTCCTTATGGCTGTATCCCCAATGGGGGACATGTGCCAGAATATCCATAGAGTCAGCCGGCGCTAGTACCATACACGCAACCAGTAAGCGCAGAGATGAGAAGATGCTCAACGCTACGGTTTTAGGTGAAGGCGATACCAAAAGCATGGCGCTAAATCGTAGCGACGAATTCAGGAGTAGAATTTTATGATCATCGCCTCCGTCGATAATGCATATCCCGTCGTAGCTGAGCTGAACGTGATCATCAACATAAAACTTGGCGGGTAGAGGTTCTCCGCTATTTACCGCTGGTTCCCAAAACCACCGTTTGAACGAGGCCGTTCATCAGATATTGCTTAAAATTTTTTTCTTTGCAATCTAAAGTTCGAACACACAGTGTAAACTCAATCAGATTTACTATGACACAAGCCAGCACCTCATATCTGCCTACACTCATCAGAGCAGGCGGGAATGAGGTGCTGACTTCGTGTTCTTCTTCGTTGAGTTCCGAACAGTTCCAGGATAATTCTTATTAATGTTCAATGTTAGGACCATAGGTTCGCTCGGAACTATTGTTTAAACAATGCTGAAAGCTAGCACCACACTGCTGCACTCCTCCCTACAGATCTTACACTGTGTGCCCGATCTTAAGATTGCAAAGAAAAAAGATATTTAGACAACATCTGATGAGCGGTTTCGTTCAAAGGGTTGCTCTAGGAACCAGCGGTAAGTAGCGGAGAACCTCTGCCCGCCAAGCCACATATTCGTGATCACGTTCAGCTCGGCTACGACGGGATATGCATTATCGACGACGACGATGATCACAAAATTCTACTTCCGGACTCGCCGCTACGATTTAGCGTCATGCTTTTGGTATCACCTAAAACCGTAGCGTTGAGCATCTCTTTATTCATCTCTGTACAGACAATCCTTCCTCGTGAGTTGAATAAGAACTAAAGATTGAACTATATCCACTATTGTTATCAATTAACTTCTATTCCGAATAACCAATAGCGTTATGTTATGTTAGATGAAAAGTTCCAAAGTCCAGTGGCTTGCAGAGGACTCTTTCTGAAGATATTCTCATTCATCTACACTCATGTAAAAGTATAGTCTATGGTGGTCTATGGTTACAGAGGGAATACGACGCTGGCAACCGTAGACGCTTTCGATGCATATTTCCGGCGCTTTGTCGCCTGAAAAACGTGTCATATGTGTAAAGTTTTGTTCAATCAATTATTTTGATTAAATTGCGTTCGAACACCATATACCTAGTCTGTGCGGGAGTTAAAGTATTTCATAGCTGGTATTAATTTCATCCTTGCGACGCGGAAAGTATCCTCCATAAAAGACCACCTCAGCACTGCCGGTTCGTCACTACATATCTGTAGAAGCCAAGTTTCGTTTGATGTTTTCATTTATTTAGGAAAAAATATAGATTATTGCTAGCTTATGTTTTTTTATCGATGGCTATATTGAACGACACAGGTTTCTCATTTTTCAGATCTAATATGGCCTTACCACAAAACTACAAGCAAGTGGCCATAGCCTCGGCTAGCATCGTTTCCACAAATCGTGAGAAATTTTTGTTCTAAATTTTATTTATTACATTCACTATTATAATATATTATTTATGCTCATTTATTTTTACAGAACGTTTGAGAGCTTCTGGAGGCAGTAGTGGCAGTTCCAGTTCAAACGTGTGTATACAATAATGATTTTTAATTAAAAAATATGATTAAATTATTATAATTCCACAGAAAGATGCTCAGAGTCCATTTGTACAAACACCCCATGGACATCCTGGCTTTACACCACAGAAAGTTGGAAAGAACACTGCTGTATGTATATATTTTGTGAATTTTTACTATGTAAAAAATATGCTTAATATATCAGTTACCTTTTTTTATAGGCTGATTCGCGATTGCCTAAGCCACCTAAACCACCAGAAAAACCATTGATGCCATACATGAGATATAGTAGAAAAGTATGGGACCAAGTAAAAGCCCAGAATCCAGAATTAAAATTATGGGAAATTGGAAAAATTATTGGTCAAATGTGGAGAGATTTACCTGAAGATGAAAAGACAGAATTTGTTGAAGAATATGAAGCAGAAAAGGTATAAATTAATTGCAAATGTTATTCATGTTTCGTTGCGAAATTGTTTTATTTTTTATGGTTTGTTATTAGGTCGAGTATGAGAAGAGTCTCAAAACTTATCATAACTCTCCAGCTTATCTAGCATACATTGCAGCAAAAAACCGTGGTAAATCTGGTATGTTAAAATTTGTGCTTTTATTGCATGTAATTTGCATATAGATTTTATTTCTCATTAAGGCTGTTCAAGGAGATATTTCATATCTGTTATGTCTTTATTCATGATTACACATACAAGAGCATCTTCAATGTGAATGCTCAAAGTTTGAAGCATACATTCTAATTCTAACACGACTAATTGATTCCTAGCATCCAACTGTAAAGAGTAAAACATTGAAGACATACATTGATTATTATAAAAACTAAAAATTACCTAAAATATGAGGAAGCTGTAGGCTACTTAAATACTGTACATTAATAATTATTTTTATCATTTGATTTTACTTTCGATTTAAGTTAAGTGAAAATTTACAAAGCCCCCTTGGACAGCAATAAAACTGTTGTTTGGTTAGTATATAGTAATATAGTATGAATACCATAACGCGATGACGTTACGGTCAAGAAATTCTTGTATTCATGGTTCTTCTCTATTTTTTTTTTTTTTTGGATCAAAATATCAGCACTGCCATATTCTTATATGATAATGAATTTGATTGAAGTTGGTGTAAATAGTTTGTAAATCTTAATCTGAAGAATAATGTACAGACACAGGACAGACGTAATACTAATAGCGGTATCTATGGGATTTTGACAGATTTCAATTTTCTTGATTCTGTTTGACACAAATATAATAATTGATCAGAAATCGAATACATTGACATTGCTTATAATACAAGGAATATGGAGGTATTAATATCTATATTTTTTTAACAAATAAGAAAAACCAAAATATCAGTGTAAAAATTTCCTGGTCTTTAACATCATTGTGCCGTGTCCATGTGTTATATTTCTACATATTTTCAAACTGATTAAATGACAGTGTTAAGCGTGTTTAATAAATCTATTTATAATACCTTGCATCTGCTACAGCATTATGTGCAGCACAGCAAAGTAATGATGACCGAGAAAGTCACGAACGTTCTTCTGGTAGTAGTAAAGGTCAAGCGGCTCAAGATAGACGAATTGATATTCTACCTGCCGAAGATGATGATGGTATGTAAAAACTACTCTATAGAACAAATTAAAGTTTTAAAATTAATATTTATACACTGATTCTCAGATCAAGATGATGGTTACTCCGTGAAGCACGTCGCTTTTTCTCGTTACACTCGCAACCATCGCCTCATTAATGAAATATTTAGTGATACAGTCGTTCCTGATGTGCGATCCGTTGTGACTACACAGAGAATGCAGGTCTTGCGTCGCCAAGTGCAATCGTTGACGATGCACCAAGTAAGTACCCAATGGCATGGTTGTAATTAAGAAATTTGATTTTTACCATTATTATATACTTGCTAGAAAAAACTGGAGGCTGAACTTCAGCAGATTGAGGAGAAATTCGAGACGAAGAAACGCAAGTTCATTGAAACGAGCGAAATATTTCAGGAGGAACTGAAAAAGGTACTTCATTTGTGACATTCTCGTAATTATTACAAATGGTGATTGCTAATTTACTTTACAGCATTGTAAGCCTGCAGTAGACGAAGAAACGTTCAACAGAATGGTTGAACGTCAATACGAAATGCTTCGTCGTGACAGAATAAAAGGTTCCGAGGAAAGTCGTTCGGATGGACCAGCATCTACTGAGTCTACGCCAAATTCAACTCCTACGCCTACTCCAGCTCCTATGAATGAAGACACTGCTGCCGAAGTAAGTATTACATAGTCTACACTATGTTGTGAATTTTAATGATTCTAAACATGAGTGATTTACAGATATCTGAAAATGATTCTCTGGATAAGAAAGCTGGAGATGTTGAAAAAGTAGAGCCAAAGAAAGAAGCTTTATCACCATCATATAATGAAGGGAAGACGGAACCTGCATCGCAAGGAAATCCGCCTCAGCATACAAACAATGCTGGACCGTATCCGGGAAATGTTAGCCCAATTCAGCAGCAGCAACCGCAACAGCAATCGCAACCTCCGCAGCAGCAACAACAACAACAACAACCACAACAACCATCACCACAACAGTCACCCCAGCAACCGCACACATCTCCTCAACAACAACAGCTGTCTCAACAGCAAACGGTTCCGCACCAAGCTCCTCAACAACAGCAGTCAGCACATCAACCTATGCAGCAGCAACCATCGCCACAGCAATCACAACAGTCAATGCCATCACAGCAGCAACAACAAACTCATCCACCGCCACAACAATCTCCACAACCACCTCAACTGCAGCATCAACATCCACAACCACAGCATCAGCCACAACATTCTTCACAACATCCGCCACAACAACAGCAACAGCATCCGCACCCACAACATGCACACCATCCGCAACATCAGGCGCAGCAACAACATCAACAATCACATCCACCACAACAGCCCCATCATCATCCAACGCCCCAACAACAATCTCAACCACCGCCATCAGCACAACAGCAGGTACAGCAACAACCTCAACAAACACCACCACCACCACCACCAATTCAGCAGCAACAACAACCACAACCTACAACTATAGCAGCTGCCGCTGCTGCTGCTGCTGCCGCCGCCGCCGCAGCGGCAAGTGCGAATGCTCCGCCAACTCAAACTGTAACATCAGTAGCCGCTCCAATGTCGCATAATCCCCCACATTCACAACAAGCTATGATGCCCAATCATTCGATGCCGTCTCACCAAGGTAGTCAAGGTCAGGTTATTCCTCCTCAGGCACCTGCAGGTAATCCTCATGGTCCTATGATTCCACCTGGACAAGGATATCCACAGCAATATCAACCTCCTGGTAGTCAACAGGCACAGAATGTTCCCCTTGCTCCACGACCTCCTCACCCTTCATATGGTTACTCTCAACAGCAACCGTACCACCAACCATATCCACAATACCCACATTCATATTATCATCAACCCTATGCACAGTATCCTCCTCACTCGATGGCTCGTCCTCATACCCATGGTCCCCATAGCCCCCATAGCCCTCATTACCATCCTCAATCTCCTCATGGTGTCAGTGAAAGCAATCCTGGTGCAAACGTAGTACCAGGATCAGGCTCTGCTTCTGCATCTGGTAATGAACCAGGGAATCCATCATACTCGCCAGCACCAGTGCACGTTGATAATGAACGTCCCTCTGAAAATCAGAATGATGGACAGAACGAAGCTAAGTCTGGGTCTGGATAACTCATTATTCGTCAAATATTGTATTAAATAATTAATCACGGTCTTCACTCCAATTTGACCTAAAAAAAATTTTTTCTTGTAATACAAGTTTATGCTTCTACTTGTATCAAAATACTACTTTATAAGTATGGCTGTAGAGTCTGTAATGGAATCAGCATTGACAGGCAGACAAAAGAAATAAAATAAAGTGATGAGACATTATTTTAATTGTCATTATATAATAAAGGTACAATTGATTATTCACTTTACAGCCTTCATTTGCCACAGTCCATCATTGAGATAGTGACAGTTTTCAACACCCACACCTTTGTTCACCTTTGCTCTGAAATTTTTATTAAAACTCATATTTATTAAGTATTATGAAAATATTTTAACAATACATGCTTACATATCTTCTGTCGACAATGATGTTATTCCCACTGCTAAGGCATGTTGTTTACCTTCTGCCATGACAGCCTACATATTTTATTAAGGATGTACGGTTAAATTATAATGTAAAATGAGACTCAGAAACATTCATCGTACATAGGTATTTATGAAAGGATACAACCACAGTCCCTTTTGGCACCTGTGTCATTCGTGCACCTTTGGATGTCAAACCAGGACACATAATATTAGCTCCACTCAATACAAAACGTATAGCACCTTTATCAACTTGTTGCATAGGTAAGAAAAAGGGATCTGAAAGTTTGTTAAATGTTTTTACCATTAGACAGTATATTACCCTTATTTAAAACTTTCATTACAAAATTAATCAAATTCTTTATTAGTGGCAATATGGTGAAAAATGAATTAGAACTTACATTTGTGCAGTAACCTGAGAGTAGGCATCCATGGCCCTTCACGTTGCCTGAAGAATAACAGTTCTCCAGCAGCGTTAACCATAATTTCTATATGATCATGACTGTAACAAGATAGTAAAATAATGCATTGTCAGTACAAACTTTACTTTTCTTTATATTTAATTTTAAATTACCATTTAACGATGCGGAAGGAATCTTTTTTTGGCATAATCGCGTCTACATAGCTCTCTAAATGCGGATAAAGGTCCAAGAGTTTTGACCTTATACCTTTCTGCACAGAAGATTTCAATTGTTGCACGCCAGAAATGCTGTCTTTTTCGTCAAACCTAAACAACAAACAATTAATGCATGTCCATAGTAACGACTAGAGGTTACAATTGCTTTAAATATACTCACTTTTTGAACATCTTGCTTAAATAGATGAATTAATAATCGGTTTACAAATTACATACAGCATATACAATACTCGTCAGAATAATTTTATGCAGCACCAACTTGATGTTTCGAATAGGACTGACCAGAAATATACCTCACCGTATCAGTCCAGGTTATGTTATGTCATGTTATGTTTATACAACACAGCGACATTGTCTAAATCGTGGATCAATTTACAATTACATGATGCACGACTCTAGGTGGCATTAGAAGCGTTAGGAACCTCCACAGCTTTGTTGAACTTGTGGGAAAACTAGACTCTTGATTGGTAAAAATTCTGTGAGGTGAGAGTTTTGGCCAATCAGAAGTCTGATTCTTTAAGGATATAACTCGTCTGACAATGTGTAAAGACTTTCTCACGTGTAACGTGTGTCAAGAAATCAAGCGATAGCTTGCACATCTATTATCCCTATAAACATGGTTTCATCTTGGTTCAGGCCATTTTGTGCAGTGTTCAAGCAGCTGTACGTTAACATATTTCCTACTTATTCCTTCGTACTGAAATGTCAAAGAGCGTCAGCTCATAATTCGCAAAATGCGCATTGTTTACGGGGACGTGTGAGCCTTGTAATATATCGTATTAACATGTGTGTGCGTCAACAATAAAGCACCAACAGGAGTAATTCTGGTAGTTTCGCGAAACAAAGAACTCTTCGATACCTTTAATAACCTTGGCCTGGTCGTCATACCCGTAAGTATCACCCTCAAAAGTGGTTAAAAATAGTACAGTTTAGTGGAAAGCTGAGGAGACGTTATTAAATTCATCGTCGTGGAGGCCACCATCTTTTCAATTGTCATCCTTAGGTTTTTTGTTGAAATACGCATCTCATCAAAAAAAAGGTCACTCGCCTTCTTCTTCCCTTTTAAAAGTACCATTGTTATTGCGACTTATTTTATTCCCGACATTGCTTCGATTTTTGCTAGTAAATAGCTAAATAATTATTGTGTTTACGTGTTCCTTATTTTGGCAACATTTCCGGGAATTAATAAGGTTTGCTTGTCATTTCTTTCTATTTTTCGCTTTTTTAAAGCACTTTCTCTAAGCCTTTAAATCATTTATACAGTGTCTTGCATGAACAATTTTTCGCAATCGCGACTGTTTTCGCTTTCAGACTGGTCTTTCCAAATGTAACAAGGAGTGCTTATAATAGTACATTTTTATAATTAATATACACAATGTCAGATAACTTTCTTTAGATTTCTCTCTGTGTCACATAACAAAAACTATTTAATTTGTTTTTATCATTACAGTTTGAGCATCTGCCTTGCCATAGAGTTTTAAATCATCCCAAAATGAGTCACGAAGAATTACTGCAAAGTTCGACTGAGGACAATGACATAGGACTTGCACCACTTTTACCGATGTTTCCAAGATCAAATAAACCATGTGTCAATGTGTGGATGGATAAGTTGAGTAAAGGCATCCTATCTTGTACACACTTTAAAGAGCATTGGAGAATTTGGGTACCTAAGATATATTGTCTTGAACCAAATAGTAGTTGTCTTCATTGGAGCTTTGCTGAAGAAAATGCAAGACAACTTCTCTTTAACACTCTAGAGGAATTCATATGTAATGGGGATCCCCAGGAGGTACTCAAACAGCTCAGTCAAATGGATCACCCACCATCAATTTGTGGCAGAGTATTTAAAATGGGCGAGCCGACATATAGCTGCAGAGAATGTGGCATGGACCCAACCTGCGTTTTATGCGTGGATTGCTTCAAGCAATCTGGTCATAGAAATCATAAATACAAAATGGGAACATCTAATGGTGGTGGATGCTGTGATTGTGGTGATACAGAAGCTTGGAAGAAAGAGCCCTTCTGTAACATGCACCTAATAGGCACTCAAACTACAGAATCATCTGGAAATAAATTACCGGACGATATTTCAGAACGCGCTGTGGCTACTTTTGAAGCTGTGCTCAAATATTGTTATGAACTATTATCATTGGAACATACACCAGGATTACCGTCGGACCTCTGTCTCAAAGACACAGATGAGGATCCTTCCTGGCTTTTATCAACAACAGACATGTATTGTACGGTTCTCTTCAATGACGAGACACATACTTTTGAGCAAGTAATAAACACACTAATGCGTGTCATCAAGTGCACTCAGAGAGACGCAATAGAATTTGTGACGAACATTGATCGTGAAGGTAGAGCAGTAGTGAAATGTTCAGGATTTCAGCACTGTAATGAGCTGAAGTCAGAAATAGAGAGATTCACTTCGCGACAAGGCAACAGACCTTTGAAAGTTTTGGTGGTTCACGCTCATGTAGTGGCACATCAAATCTTCGCCATGAAACTTTTAGATTGGTTGCAGCAGTTCATAAGTCAGTGTAAAGGGTTCAGAGTGCTTTTCAGCCACGTAGCCTTGAATAGAAAACTCCCTGAGGTATCAATTGTTGAGGGAATTCTCATGAGAGATTCCCAACTGTGGAAATCCGCCAGAACGGCCTGGCACAGACTCTTCATCTCAGGAATGCTCATGGAATATGAAAGCAAAAAAGCACTGGCTACCGTATTCACATACAATTACGGATCTGTGATGAAGGATTTTATAAGAGATGATCATGATCATTCGTTTTCCATCGTTTGTCTTTCTGTTCAGTTATTTACTGTACCCACCCTGGCGCATCATCTTATCGCACATAATGATGCACTTTTTATATTGCTGAATACACTACTTTCAGAAAGTTCTCCAAGACGAAATTCTGCAAGGATCCTTGAGTTTGAAAGAAATACACCAAACACTACTTTTAAAAGAGCACAGTATATACTGTACGATCTGCGGTATTTGCTAAGCGCTAAACCAGAAGTTTGGACTATCGAATTGAGACGTGCTTTTCTCCAAGGGTTCACGTTGCTTCTTACATTACTTAGCAGTATGCAAGGAATGGATGCTGCATTACGACAGGTCAGCCAACATATGGAATATGAACCAGAATGGGAATCAGCATTCAATTTGCATATTAAGCTATCACCGGTGATTAGTTTAGCTCTTGAATGGTGCGGCTCCGACAGAATAGTTTTTATAAAAACATTCAGATTTGTATTGAAGGGACTCCAGGGGCTTCCTGATAACGATCCTGGTCGAACTCAACTCAGGCAACTGGCAGGTCACAGTGCCCACTGCATACAGTATGACGTGACTTCCTCGCCAGTATCCATTCATTTACCATTTTCTAGGCTCCTTGCAGGACTTTTCTTACATCTTGAAAAATACGATCTTAATTTCGGAAGCGCAGAGTTCATGATTTCTTCCAAGCCAACACCTGAGCAGATAATTGAACCCATTCTGAGGACTCAAGCGATGATTTCTCAAGTGCATGCTGGTATGTGGCGACGAAATGGATACTCCTTACTTAATCAGCTATATTTTTATCACAATGTTAGATGCCGCTCCGAAATGTTGGACCGCGACATAGTACTCCTGCAGGTTGGAGCCTCATTGATAGACAGTAATGAATTCTTAATACACATCCTGAATAAATTCAATTTGATCAATTGGTCAAATTCAGATTTTGAGACTACAACGCTCAAAAGTTTGGAGGAGGATAATACTAGACAGACGATCAATCTTGTGGAGGAATTCCTAGGTTTACTCATCACCATCATAGGTGAGCGATACGTTCCAGGAGTTGGTCAAGTCGACACTGATGATCGTATCAGAAAGGAAATCATTCAGCAACTCTGTATTAAACCACTTCCACACTCGGAATTGAACAAGGCTCTTCCGGATGACATACACTATGAGACTGGAATTGAGAGAGTAATCGATGACGTAGCAGAGTTTAAGAAACCTCCTGAGATATCATTAGGGAAAGGTGTTTATGAACTCAAACCACATCTTTACTCTGAATACAACGTATTCTTCTACCATTACACAAAAGAAGAATTAAGTAAATCTGAAGAAGCTCAACGCAAGCGCAGAAAAGCAGCCGGTGAACTGGAATGCTGTCCACCACCGAAACTGCCTAAATTAACGGAAGCTTTTAAAATGGTAACGAATTTACTTCAGTGTGATGTCATGCTTCATATAATGCAAACGGTACTAGAACGCGCACTTAATCTCAGAGCCAGAAGCTTCTCCGAGCCTCAAGTGCATAAGATACTTCACTTGATAGGCTATGCTCTGCAAGAAGAAGAATCAGGACACTATCCCTTCCTCGCTTTTACGAAGAAGGCTTCCAAATGGAAGATCTACAATCAATTAGAAGATCTTTGGAATAGCCCACGAGTAGAAGCCCACAAGGATCTTCTCACCTGGGTGTTAGAGAAATATAAAAGTGTTGCTGGCTCTGCAGTGATGGAATCCGTGTCTTTGCCTGCAGCTCCGTTAGTGGAACGTTCTAGTAATGATGCAAGTTCAACAAATACAAGCAAGGAATGGAGAACGAAGATGGCTGCTCAGAAACGTGCTAAAATCATGGCGCAAATGACTGCTATGCAAAAGCACTTCATGAAGACGAATGCAAAACTCTTTGAGGAGGCTGCAGTTGACGTGAACAAGAGCGACCGTGGCTCGATAATGGACTTAACCGAATCAACTCAGGAAGCTGCTATTGCTGTCGGTTTAAGGCAAACAAACAGATCAATCGAAGAAAAAACATACACGTGCATTCTCTGTCAGGAAGATCAGGCTGTCACTGCAGCAGGTGCTGCTATGGTACTTGCAGCTTTTGTACAGCAATCTACAGTGTTGTGCCAGGACAGAAGTAATACCGACGAACCGAATCCTCTTTATTTATCTGCAAAATTGGGCGCATCGCCGCATACCAGTACCTGTGGCCATGTGATGCACGCTCAGTGCTGGCAAAAGTACTTCGACAATGTTCTTGCCAAGGAAAACAGAAGACCTTATCGTCTAAGACAACCTGCTAGTTTCGATGTAGAGAAACATGAGTATCTCTGCCCACTCTGTGAGTGTCTTAGCAATACAGTGTTACCGCTTTTGCCATCACCATCGACCTTACAGCCAACGATTCATCCCCAGAAAGACATGGACTTTACGACCTGGATAAAGGCATTGAATTTAACCCTAGACTGTAAAAACAAAGGATATTTCACAGCGCCGGGGCAAATTGAAAATAATCATGACTCAACATGTCGATACTATTCAGATGTAAAATCTGCCGACTCTATGGAAGAAGAAAATTCGACATCAAGACAAACATTCGCGTGTCCAGTGAAGAGGATCTCTCAGGAACTCGGCGACAAAGGAAATGCATTCATATCTTTATATGAACAAACCGGTCCATGGCTGTCGGATAACCTCGTTTCTATGATACATCTCTTTGCTCAGGCCACTTACACGAAAGGTTTGGGGGTGGAGCCACATGAAGGAGATTCAAGGGTACCTTTGCTCGCATGGAAGTCCACAGCGTATACGATTCATGCAATAGAGTTTACATTACGAGATGTAACCAAGCCACTATTGGGATCTCTACCTTCTAGGCACAGAGATAATCTGGAGGGACTCATTAGAATTGCAACTATTTTAGGTTCAACGTGGCCGAATAACAGCAATTCACCGTCCTGGCCAAATGTCAGTACCATAGGAGGTCACGCGTTAGACCTTCTAAGAATGCTCTTGGAAAATCCATTTGATGGTCCCAGTGTTCTAGAATGGGATCCATTCGGTGTTTTAGTACCACTCACTATATCTCTACCAAGTCTCTTCAACACAAAACCCAATACACCTTCGCCAGTTATAACGGGTGGCATCCAGGAATCCCATGCACTGAAGCTTGTATTTCTGTCACTTATCGTGAAGATTCTTTTGACAACAGATTTCAAGAAAAATGATCAAATGGATGTGGATGATCCGGATCCAGAAGAAATCGCAACCTGTAATTCTTTACTCTCCTTGACGAAGACTCTCGGTGTGAATATCGGTAATCAAACAATACCCCAAGTCTGGAGACAAGTCAAGAACTCCTGCCTCCCGTTCCTGCGATGTTGCACCTTGTACTTTCACTACGTAACAGACGTACCAGCCTCCACAGAACTTACCATACAAGGTAAAGGAACCTTTGAGAATATATGTAAATATTTGGGTCTGCCAATATCCTGCAATGAATTATTGGATCTGGAGGTGTCCAAAAATCTCGCTACTCTGTGGAGGAATCATCCAACCGTCCAATCGTACCTGGCTGATTGCAGTACGATATCAATAGTGAAAGAACCTTTATCTGTCAACAAGCTAGTAGATCTGCCGGATGACTATAGTGAATTAATAAATTCCGTTTCGCTATTCACATGCCCGTACAGTGATCGTGAGGATTCCCGTAGCCCCACAATGTGTCTGGTATGTGGACAGATGCTTTGCTCACAAAGTTACTGTTGCCAGACGGAACTGAACAAAACGATGGTGGGTGCATGCACCTATCATGCCAGCAAATGCGGTACGGGCGTTGGAGTGTTCTTGCGCGTCAGGGAATGTGAGATCCTATTTCTACGCAGCCCTAATAGGGGTGCGTTCATGTGCGCACCGTATCTCGATGAGTATGGAGAAACCGATCAGGGTTTACGACGAGGAAATCCACTAACGCTATGCAAAGAGAAATACACGAGATTGAATCAACTCTGGTTGGGACATGGACTGCACGAGGCCATAGCAAGGGCAATAGAGTCTTCGAGCAACCTTATGTCAACGCAATGGCAAGATCTATAACCGTTTTAGAAATCCTGATGAGAGATTTATTGGGATACATACTCTCTTTCTGTATCTCTCCTATCTTGCTAATCCCATCCCTGTTCCCACGTACTATTCAAGTACCATTCACTTTGTGTACCCAAAACCATCCACCCACATCCTTGGAATCTAGACCCGGACATTAACCAAAAAATACTAAATTTATGATTAGCTTAAGAGAAATGTAGTTGGTAGTATTACGTCGTTGACTATTCTTTCGATTTGCCACACGAGGAAAACGAAAATTATGAAATTATTTATTTCAAGTGGTTAAACGCGTCGTCGAAAGCTTTGTATATTTAAAAAAAAAAAACATCGGTTATTATTACATCCTGTTGCGACGTTTCAGATAACTAGAGTTTAACGAACTTTCTAATATGTAAATTAAAAATATAAATTCCTGTATAATTACTAACCAGAATTTTGTCTGATTTCCATTATTGCCACGTCCTTTTACCTTTTGATCTTTACTACTAAAAAAGCTCTAGCAAAAATAAGATTCAAGAATATAGGAATGCATCAAATGTGCTGTGAGAAGGGCTGCTGTTCATTCTGACATAGCTGCAAGATAAGTTTGTTGAGTCATAAATGAAATAATAATATACGGATATATAAAATAGGTCCTTGTAGTATTAAAAAGGACACTTAAGACGAGGATAGAATCGGATTACACAATTTTTTGGTCATACAATTTTTACAATTTTGGTCATACAAATTTATCGGTCATACAATTTTTTGTTCATGTTGAATAGAATAGAGATCAGCCACCAGAGGACGACAGTAGAAGTCAGAACAGAATCCTAAAGTGGCACCATCTTCTTGGGTTAAGATTTCTATCGTTCGTGACTTTTTTGGCGTTCGACCGATTCCCAATGTGGCGCTTTAGTTTGGAAGGTTATGGATTGAAGCTTCGGGGTGTGGCATCATATTTTGTGGTTTATAAAATGATCCCAGCACGCCGAGCATATTATGCCATATAGAATTCCTGTTTCATCGCGACAAATCGTTGCAGCACTGTCCCGTGGTAACTCCGGCTCGTGTGACCCATTTGACATCAATTCGAGGCCGCTCATCCTACCGTCAAAAGGACTTTAAATTTATTATTACTCCAGTAGCTTGTTGCCACTTCGCACGAAAGAAAACCGGACCTTCCTGTTGATTGTCTTTAAGTCATGCATTGTCAGACTCTTGAATTCATGATGATACGGTGGTTATTCCGTCATTTGTCCAACTGAGCTCACTTGACACACGTCTAGTCTGACAATCATCGCCAAAGGCGGCTTCAACGTCGCTCATCGGAACGCAGTCCATGAAATCAACAGCGCCAAACTCTTTGTGGGATGTTGAATGCCACTACTCCCACACAGTCCAACGAATACACGGAGATGTCTCGGCTGGCCGACTACTTTGTAGTGGTCGGCTATGATCACGAGAAGGAAAGTAAGTAGAAGAAGCTATTCTAGTCACGGCATGCCTCATGGAGTTCATTTTGGTCCATCTGCCATGAGCTGGATTACGTTTCAGGAGGTGGCATAAGTAATGGGATTATTCTACAAAGATTTCCTGAGAAGGACTGGTCCGATACACCATTTATTGAAGGGATAGAATGGGTGAGAATCTTTCAACAGATTTTACTATTAACCTGTTCGCTGGAATGCTCTTATGTAACACTATCATTGTTTTAGTTTTGTCAACCACAAGGATGGGCTCTTTCCACAGAAAGACAAGAACCCAGGTTCTTTGTATCCATATTAACAGATATAGATGCAAATCGACATTATTGCGCATGCATGTGCTTTAATGAAACAGTTTCTATCACTCCTAGTAAGCCTGTAGATGAGGAAGAGGAACCTGTCGATGGAGACAGCCGTACTTTGGTCAGAGCCATTCCTACCATTGCTCATCACAGTATCATGTATGCACCGAAGTGTCTGGTGCTGGTCTCCAGACTGGATTACATAGAAACTTTTCGGGTACTTACACATTTTATAAATCATTTTAAGAGACTAGAAAGAAACTATTGAACATTATAACTTTCCTCTCTATTTCAGAACTGTCTGGGAATCATTTACACCGTGTATGTAGAAAATCTTGGCATTCCTTTAGAAACCTTGGTGGGGAATATCTTAGGATGCATACAGGTGCCACCAGCAGGTGGTCCCCAAGTGCGCTTTAGCATTGGCGCTGGCGATAGACAAGCTTTACAACCACCGATCAGTCCTTCGCTTCCTATTACACACACTAGTGTCAATCTGCTATTTCAACAGCTAAGTGAGTAAGAAAAATAATAAAGCAAAAAGCATTTGAAAAAATATTCCTATACAGCAATTCATAATTTTGTTTCGCTCTCTAGGTATTCGCAATGTTCTGGTTTTATTTTGTGCTGTCATGACGGAACACAAGATTCTCTTCCATTCGGCTAGTTATTCCCGTTTGACAGAAGGATGTCGAGCACTTACTGCGCTAATGTATCCCTTCAGATACACTCATGTATACATTCCACTTTTACCAGCAGCTCTAGTCGAAGTACTGAGCACGCCAACACCATTTATAATGGGAGTGCACAGTTCCCTTAAGCATGAAGTTGCTGAGCTGGTAAAAATTATTAGATACACAACTTTATCCACAAAGTCTTTTCCTAAGAAGTATGTATATAGCGTAACGTAACTTCTACTTTTCTATAGATGGACGTAATAGTGGTCGACCTGGATGGTGGTTCAATAATGGTTCCCGATGGAGTTTCACTTTCGTTACTACCAGAACCATTACTTTCTCAGACGCAGGATGCCCTGTCTCTAGTTTTACAACCTGAGTTGAGTTGCGCAGATTATGCATTTCCACCGCTGGCTACCAGGGCGCCACATCCTCCTATGCTGGACAAAGAACTTCGAGCGGTGTTTATGAGAACGTTTGCCCAGCTTCTTCAAGGATATAGAAGCTGCCTGACCTTAATACGCATACATCCTAAACCTGTCATCACTTTTCACAAGGTGCAAATTCCATTTTCTAATTAATTTTGTTATTAGAAAAGTGCTTAATGGTGTCTAATCGTAAGTGCATTTGCTTCCTATTCATTTCAGGCCGCATTTCTGGGCGAACGAGGATTGATAGATTGTGATTTCACCATCAGAGTTCTGGATTGTATGTTCTTCACATCCTTTATCACTGAACGTGGTCCCCCATGGCGACCATGTGATGTCTGGGATGAGCTGTACAGTAATCTCAGCGATCAGCTGAAGCAGGAGGCACAAGATCACAGTAAGACATCCCAAGATTCACTTTAGAAGCTTTTTATAGAAACCTCAACATTGTACATTAAATATAAAATCTTTCAGGATTGATTCTGAATCATATTCAAGAACTTGCACAACAACTGTACACCAATGAGAATCCGAATCCTCAACCGTACGTGCAGAAAATCCTGAAACCTCCAGAAGGAGCCTTTGCCAGGATACACCAACCATTGCTTCCACGTATAAATCCTGAACAAGTACAAGCAATAATAGATGAAGGTCTTGCCAAGAATAATCTTAAAGTAAGGTTATCATCTCTACGGCCCATTCAGCCACGAATAGTACCCATTGGACCCCATATTTCAATAGTGCATGATACGCGACATCTGGTTAGCAATTCAGCACGTAGATTGGAAGTGCTACGCAATTGCATAAACTGCATATTTGAAAATAAAATATCCGATGCGCGTAAGACATTCCCAGCAGTTCTTCGTGCCTTGAAGAGTAAAGCAGCCCGATTGGCACTTTGTATGGAATTATCACAACATGTTGTGGGAAACAAAGCGATGCTGGAACATCAGCAATTTGACCTCGTGGTCAGATTGATGAACTGTGCTTTACAAGATGATTCCTCGATGGACGAACATGGTGTAGCCGCGGCATTGTTGCCATTGGCAACGGCATTCTGCAGGAAACTCTGCACAGGTGTAATACAATTCGCCTATACATGTATTCAAGAACATGCAGTATGGCAGAACCAGCAGTTTTGGGAAGATGCGTTCTACCTGGACGTTCAGAAGGACGTGAAACGTCTTTACTTACCTGGTGAAAATTCACCACCAAGACTGTCTAATGAGGGTATCCTGAGTCCTGTAAGTCCTCGAGAGAACAAGGAATTTCCATTCAGAGATCGGTGCTCGGTGTATCGAACTCAAGAACCATCTGCCCTGGAAATTGCTGCCGAGCAAATGAGAATTTGGTCCTCCATTGATTCTGAGAAGCAATGTGAGCTCATTACTAGTGAGGAGAGTACCATGTACAGTCAAGCGATTCACTATGCGAACAGGATGGTTTATTTGCTAGTCCCGCTGGACATCGGTGCCAAGACACATCGACCCGATAACGTTTACTATGATGAAAGAGCGAGCAACAGTATCACCAATAGGTATGTACCATCTTGGGACTTTCATTTGGAAGAAATTGTCGGATGAATTATGTGAAATTCTACGAATAGTGTCGCCAGTGACAGTGGAGATGCTGAATCTGGATTCGAGGAAACTGATCCTGGTGAAACAGGAACAGCCGTGATACGTATGGTATCGCGGTTTGTCGATAGAGTCTGTACCGAGGGTGGCGTTAGCGCCGAACACGTTAGATGTCTTCATCAAATGGTTCCTGGTGTGGTTCACATGCACATTGAGACGCTGGAAGCTGTTCATAGAGAAAGTAAACGATTACCACCAATACAAAAGGTAAATAACAGATAAAATGATACTTAGTGCATGTGAAACTAATATTAACAAAAGTAACATATATTTGTTTGTGTTGGACAGCCTAAGATACTGACCCCGAATATGCTACCCGGTGAAGAGGTGATAATGGATGGTTTAAGGGTGTATCTTTTACCGGATGGACGAGAGGAGAGTTCTGCTGGTCTTCCAAAAACTCCGCCACTGTTGCCGGCTGAGGGTGCCATTTTTCTTACAAACTACAGAATAGTTTTTAAAGGGATACCTTGTGATCCGTTCGGTGTGTTTTCTATATTTAAATTCAATATGGAAGGAGTTGTTATTTGAATATTATAATCCATTTACTTTTCATAGCTTGCGAACAACTAGTCGTTCGAGCCTTCCCAGTGACTTCTTTAACAAAAGAAAAGCGCGTAGCCGTTCAACATTTGGCACATCTAGATCAATGTCTTCAGGAAGGATTGCAGTTGCGATCATGTACTTTTCAGTTGATAAAATTAGCTTTTGATGAGGAAGTTACGCCAGAAAATATTGAAACCTTGAGGAAACTCGTCCACAAAGAACGTTATCCTCCACATATCTTTCATCATTTTGCTTTTAACGGTCAAGTGGTGGTGACACCGACAGCTCATCATAAGGGAAAGGAAAAGAATGCCACCCTTAAGTAAGTCTCTTTTTTAAATTAAATTATTATATTGAAAGTAGTTACCCTTTGTGTATCTGTGAATTTTTAAAGGGGTTTTGCTAAAAAAACTTTATTAAAAACGGCCAGAAAAGCGGGTTTCAAACCTAAACAATCGTCTAAAAGGCAGAAATACGTTCTGCCAAATATGAATATTATGGGCAGTAATAAATACATGACATCACCTGGAAGAATGAGTCTTCCAGTAACCGACAACAACGACCTGAGCCACGATGACGATCTTAGCAGTAAGTATCATGAGAATATTTCCTAATTGATTATTGAAATTCGAATACAATTAATCTATTTAACATTGAAATGCTGTTTTCCTTGCAGTCGACGAATTCGAGATTCCTGGTATCGTGGCACAACCTCCAACAGATGCGAAGACATTGGAACGACTCTCAGAGAGAAGTTACGTTAGGGATTGGTATAGAATCGGCCTTTGTCCGAATGGTCCACACAATAATCGAAGAAACGAGCCGTTCCGTTTGACGTCAGTAAATTGCGCGTACATGATGTGCAGGAGTTACCCAGCCCTCTTAATAGTTCCTACCTCGGTATCAGATGAGAGTATTCGCAGATTCTGTAGGCTGTACAGACACAGTAGAATACCAGTGGTCACGTGGAGACATCCAAGAACAAAAGCTTTGCTCATACGAGGAGCTGGTTACCATGGTAAAGGCGTCATGGGGATGCTGAAAGCACATCCATCTTCTGCAGGAAATCTTAAGGGTATAATTTAAAAATTCTACTGCAAAATCTATATATAACACGAAAATACATTTTTATTTTATTTACAGCTACATCCTCTGAGAGTACGTCATCACTGGAGCAGGAAAAATACATGACGGCTATGGTGAACGCTACTCCTCTTTCTGTATTACGTCAAGGCTCTGCCTGGGGAATGTCAGACAGTTCTCTCAGTATAGATTCTCTATTACTTGCTGCTGAAGATCGTAATGCTACTCCAGAACAGTCGCGCCGAAATCCATTCAATAAAGCTATTGGTACTCTAGGGTATGTATTATAGAAACTATGTACGAACTATATATATATATATATATATATACATATGTGGTTCCGAAAAGATGTTTAATGTGTGATTGTCTAAAAGGTCGTCAGGTGGTAAAGGACCAAAAAATTTTGCACGATGGGGCTCTCTCAAAGACAAAAGGCATAATTCTCAGGCTTCTTTAACAACTGTCAATCAACGAGGCACTGTCAGACACTCAGCGGATTCTGACAGTGGCACCGAGTGCGTTCACACTATTCAACGCGCCGCACTGTATATTCTTGGTGAGAAGGCTCATATGAAGGTAAGAATTGTCATTTTGAAACCAACGAAAAGACATTTTTTTACTTTTTAAATTATGGAATATATATATATTTGTTTTATTTAAAGGCAGGTAAAGCCGAGTCTGCACCAAAGTCTGACTTCATTCCAGTGGAGTACTACGATGTTAGACACACTAAAGCGGCATTTAAAAAATTGATGAGAGCCTGTGTACCGAGTTCGCCGAATCCAGAACCTGAACAAAGCTTTTACAAGTAAAATAGACTTTAATATAATTGGTTGTGCTTCTTCGGAAGTACAAAACTTAGTTATCATCTATATTAGAATGGTTTTTGATTTCTGTGTTTCAAATTGTAGGCTCATTGAGAACTCGGAATGGTTGCAACAACTGCAGAGCTTGATGCAATTATCCGGAGCAGTAATAGATCTGATGGACGTTCAAGGATCTTCTGTAGCAGTTTGCCTGGAAGATGGTTGGGATACGACAGCTACAGTCTGTTCAGTGGCCCAAATATGCCTTGATCCTCACTACAGAACCATCGAGGGTTTTCGAACTCTTATTGAGAAGGAATGGCTAGGTTTTGGGCACAGATTTGGCCATAGAAGTAATCTTGCAGTAAACTCACAAACAACAAACTTCACGCCAACCTTCCTCCAGTTCCTGGATATTGTTCATCAAATTCTGAGGCAGTTTCCATTGGCGTTTGAGTTCAATGACTTTTATCTGAAATTCCTTGCTTATCACTCTGTGTCCTGTCGCTTTCGCACATTTCTTCTTGATTGCGAATTCGATAGGGTAGAATGTGGGATTACTGCTGTCGAGGACAAAAGAGGATCGTTGACAAGCCACCATAAGGGTGTGGACACGGGAAGCGATGACGAGACAGTTTATCCTGGTGGAAGACTTGCAGGCACCAATACTGGTTCCAATCTTGGCCAAAGTATCTTCGACTACATCGAAAAGCAACATGCCAGGTCGCCACTATTTTTTAACTTCATGTACACACCAACTACTGAACATCCAGTACTTCGTCCGGTGTCGCATTTACCAAGTCTAGATATATGGCAGTATTATCTTGAGGAAGAATTGGCACATGGACCAGCTTATGACCTTGAAGTGTTACAACAGGATTCGCAACAGGAAGAGGAAGCTGAGGCTGCTGACGGAATTGTGAAAAGCAATCGCAAAGTGGTGACACAAGGGTAAATAAAGAGTCCATTGGTTTTTTTATCTAAAAGAATTTTAAAAAACATCAATTGCATAGTAATTGTTTTAAAGATACGATGGGCTGAGTTCGATGATACCAGATCAATTTTCGCATCTTCTGGAAGAAATCCATAAATTAGAAACGGAATTGGGTCATCTTCCCCAGAAGTGGAAAGTATTATGGGATAAATTGGAGTTACCTAACACAGATTCTCTTGCTGTAAGTTCTGTTTCACAAATCTTAAAACATTGTAAATGGACAAATCGTTCCTCATAAGTTACATTATTTACTAGCGGCACGCTTCATTCAGCACGGCATTAGTAAGGCATCACGGTCGATTGATCCATAAACGTTCGACCTTGGAATTACTTTTAAGGGGTAAATTAGCCGGTGGAAACACTTCCGGAAATGAGGGTTCTGTTTACGCACATCCGCACAGGTAATACCATAAATAATTTACATTTTCATTAATATTAATATTTATATTATATTATTAATCTGACAACAGATTCGAAAGATTGGATTCAGCTACTCCAACGCACTGCGACGCTTGTTCCGGTGTTTTATGGGGTCCTGTAAAGGCTGGTTTACGTTGCGTCGATTGCGGCCACGTGTGCCACGATAAATGTGCTGATGCTGTGCCCAAAAACTGTACAAAGTACAAGGCAGTGGCCGACAACTTGCAATCTCACACGCTGACAAGAAGTGGAGGCGATAATGGGAGCGTTAACTCTAGTATGTTTTTACATATCATCAATTCTAATGAAATCCGGTTTATGTAATTAGGTCGTGATATGAGTTTTATACTTCGTAGACTATTTAGCCGTAAATTAATGTAACATAGTCACTTTAAATGAAACTTATATCATGGTCCAACCATAAATCATATGGATCTCTAATTACTTTCTCAGGTGTCGCTACAATGCAAACATCCTCACAACAGTACTATGAACAATTCTCCAGCAACGTAGCAGAAAATAGAACGCACGAAGGTTATCTATATAAACGTGGCGCCCTACTCAAGGGCTGGAAACAACGATGGTTCGTTCTCGATTCTATAAAACATCAATTAAGATACTACGATGCCATGGAGGATTCTCATTGCAAGGGTTACATAGGTAAATATATAACGCATTGATTTAATTATTTTACCTATAGAAACGCTGAATGATTTCATTATTCTTAAATTCGTATCAGATTTGGCTGAAGTCGTTTCTGTAACACCAGCTGCACCAACGCCTGGTCCGCCAAAGAAGACGGACGACAAGTCATTTTTCGATGTAAGTTTTACGAGATACAAACTCAAAATAATATCAAATGGAACGTTATTATGTCTTCTAAAACTATTCTATAATGAATCGTAAATTGTTTCTGCAAGCGAATCAGGATTATTTTCTATCCTTTTTTCTTATTTCATTTGACTTATAGAAACAACTTACAAAAGACTTCTACCGACATTTCATTGTAGAACAGCTTTAGCAAGCCTTCTACGAGCAAGTCTGTCTTACGAATTCGAACCCCTAATTGGCCCTAACTTTTAAATCGAAAAATGTTGACCAATTAGGAGATTTCCGATTAGTACGGTTAGTCTGACAAAGCTGTGAAAGTGTCTTTAATCTAATATGTTCCTAATTTAATTTGTTCACAGCTTCGCACGAATAGGCGGACGTATAATTTCTGCGCGAGCGATGCAACAACAGCTCAAGAATGGATTGAAAAAGTTCAAGCATGTTTGCAGTAGTGTCACCGTGCGGATTCTAGCCCTAATTTAAATTGTGCAAGTGACTGATAGAATAATTGAAATTTTAATTTTGTTACATTATTTTGTATAGCTTAAACCCGTGGCATTGCGTCTTAGACAACCGCAGAGTTTTGCTTTAGATATTTTACGAACTGTCGATATAAATATACATAACCGTCGGTCAAAGAAAAATCAAATGAAGAACGTCGCCAGTGCAACAGCTAAAACGACGTAGGCAAAAATGTTAGTTAATCTCGGGCGACGTATGGTATATTAAGATGCCAATATATTGTATATTATTATTGTGTCCTAAGTTCAACTATTCTTTCCGACAAAACACGGATTTAAAAATTCTAGCTGGAAGAAGAGAGATCGACACAACAATCCTCGTGGGCATACTGCTTTCCCTCGTTTTAAAAGAGTTTTTTTTTGGTTTCTCTATATGGCGATTATTTAAACAAATTTAACAAACGGAGGAAGAACCTCGATGCGATCGTTACCGCACGTAGAAACACTTTATTAGATTAGCCTGCGTATATCTGTCGATATATTATAATAATTATTATTATTAGTTATTAAAATAATTGTCATTAATTGTTATATAGTAAGACGCGATCTCGCTTATTACCAAACGGGCGGTAAACGATATCCAGACAGAGTATCGAAACGCTTGTTTACACCCAAGACCGTCTCTCTCGCTAATTAATTTGTTCGCTTGACCCTGCTGAGCTTTTAATTAAATTTTAAAAAAGTGGTTAAGGGCGAAAGGATCAAGAATTAAAATTTGTATTCGTATAGTTACTGGCGATAAGAAGGGCAGGGGACAGCCAGAAAGTAAATGGGCAATATAGCTATCCTTCTATAAGTGCGAATCCCGTACAAATTGTCCCGTTTTTAAAAAAAAAAAGCGTAAAATGATTCCAGAAATAATTATCGAATATCGATTAATGTCGAATATTTAAAATCGACAACAAAATTTTAAGAGCGTCAATGTACGTTACAGAAATATTACTATTTTTTTTTTCGAGAATTTAGTTTAACTTGGAATTTAAAAGATCTGTGCATAAGATATCTATTATTAATCCTGAACAATGCCTGTTCTATTGTGTTTCTCGACGTGTCTTTAATGTTATAATGGTGATTCCTGACGTACACGTTAAGCGTTGAAATAGTAGGAACACCTCTCTCGAGATCTTGAAATTGTCGACAATTTCGAATGATTATTCGGATAGGGAGTATATCGAATAGTTTTGCTGCCAAGTCAATGTTAATATAAATGCGTGTACACTGTGCAGAAAGGTCGTGCTTCCTGTGAGATGCACAATGAGATTTCGTTATTATTTTTTATCTCAATTTATTTCCAAACCGAATCTCTAATATTCATATTTTTTGGGGGGGATATCGCTAAATTCGTACTGAGGTCTATTTTTATGTTCTATGAACGCGATGGATAACGAATTAACAATATATGATATTCCTTCTAGCGACAATGAAAAATACAATATGCGTTATTGAAATCGCATTGACGTCTATATTTTTTTACCCTTAAATGCCCCCACATTAACATGTATTACAAATTGATATTTTTTACAGCAGCCATTGACTCACTCTAATTTATGATAAAAGTAAGCGGCTGTACAGTGGTGAAATTAATTGACCATAATATACATAATATCTTGTGTTTTGCGTTTTTTCAAAATGAGTTTATAGTGATGTAAAGTACCATGTGAGCAAGAATCAACGAAAGCGATATAACAGAAATGACGTCTTATAAACTTCTTTAATTCTTTCAAAGGCACTGGTCTGATTATAAATTTATTCAACAAAATATTGGTAACTATTCAATCAAGAAAGATAAAACAAGAGGAAGTTCAAGAGGTTCAACCTGTATTTCAAATCCTTAAGAAATGGTTGAAAAGTTCACAAATTGTATGTGCACTTATTCTCAAGACATTTAAAAAATTTCAAGTCTATTGTCTCTTTTATTTTATTAGTTATGTATCTGTAAACTGTCATCAATTTAATATAGGTTCTCATTGAGTTAATATTCATGTAGAGCCATATCAACATTCCCTTTTCTATTTCTGATTTGTAAAAATAAAACTGCGAAAAATAATTAATTTCACTCTTATTTAAATTTTGTTTACCTATTTTAATTTTTATCATACATGTGGTATCTGAATGTAATTTTTTAAGTGCATATAAATGTAAAGAGTTTATGAAAATTCTTTAATTCTATGTCTGAAACTTTCCATTACCCTTTCTTTTATGAGATTTCAGTGACGTACATCTCTGTAAAAGTAACTTTTTTTGAACGAGTATCACTGGCGTACTCGACATAGTATGACGTTATGAATTACGACTAGCGCTCCCTGGAATAAAGGATATCTCTTTGGCGAGAAGAAAATGCTCACTGACAGCTACATTTTGTAGTAGGAAAAAAATCTTCCTATTGACAAAATAGATATTTCTCGGAGTGATATGGTGTATGCCTTAATAATACTTCTCGGTCCTAGAATAAGAATTTTATGAAAATAGCGTACGAAGTACAAGGCAAGGATCTGCGACAGAAATGTTTCTTTCTACAACTTGTCAGTACCACGTTTATCCATATTTTACCCATTTTATAAAGATTAATTGAGAAATCGAGCAACACTAGGACCCAGCTTTCATCAGAAGGCTTTGATTGTGCCCAGTCACTCAAGTGATAATATTTTAAATCCCAAATTTTTTCCGTACTACGATTCCTAGTAATCTTTTTCCGTGCGATCCATGCGGCTCTGTGGAAGCAGAGTACGGTCGGGTAAAGTGGGTCTGTGACATTAACACCGGATATTGCGACTTTTGTACCTTTCGCGGAGAGGAGTAATTCTTTGCCTTTTTTACCTGCTATAATATTCATCAAAATGTTAAAAACATTTCAGTTGATTTAGATTGTCAGAAGTGTTGGTACCAAATTTTTCGTGAAAAGCTAGTGACTCTAAGAGACTTGATAACGTAAGTTTTTTCACTTTGTTTGGTTAAAGATCAGAATATCCGTAACCAAAACATCCCTATGCTTACGTCATGTATTATATTCTTTAAGATCTATTTATGGTAGTTACACAAAGTGTGGATAATCTAGATTTCTCGATTTAAGTGACTTTTTTGGGTATTTCATTTTTAAAAACATTCTATCAAAACTATAAGTAAACACCATAGTCCATTCCTATACAACACAAAACACATCTGAATATTTTATGGTGTATCGAGTTCTCAATCTAATTTCAAAATCAAAAATGACCTGTAGGCGGTGCGCTTGTAGTGAATAACTCCATATACAAATTACATAAAGAAAATTGAATGCTCTGATTATTATGGAGATTAAGATTGCATTTTTTCTGTCAATATCCAGCTTTTTGCAGAAGCTTTATTATTAATTAATCAGATTAGAAAGATATAAAAACAGTTTCTTGTTAATAGTTGCTGTTGCTGCTTTTCAACTTGCAGGTAGTGTTTGACATGCCACTAAAGGGAATAAGAGTTATTGAAATGGCTGGTCTAGCACCAGCACCATTCTGTGGAATGATTTTAGCTGACTTTGGAGCATCTGTAATTCGTGTAGACAAGGTAGACCATGCACAGATCCACACATCTATATTTAGACTAGGCATTCCCTATCCTAGTCTGTATCGTCAAGTGAATAAATACGTTTCAAGCACAAAACGCATGCGCATCAAATATGTCGCTGTGTGAAGTAAAAGCGGAATTTCAAAAAACTTATGGAATAAATAATATATCGTAAATATAATAATGTATTTTATAATAAAAAATGGTATTAGAATTGTTTCATTTCATAGAAACAAAATGTAAAGGGAGCGTTCAAATTCAGTTCCTATTATGTATTTTCATATTAATACATATAAAATTATGAGTCATATCGGATCATACATATAGCATTATATTCCATAATAGAACGTAAATTTTATATTATTATAGATCGGTGTACTGGTCATATGAAAATACTTATAGATATAGATTACATATCTATCGTGTCATTACGGTTAAGCAACAATCTGATAGGTTCAGATTGGATTAGATAAAAACGCTATCATCACTTGAACTTTGAATAGATAGAATTGATAGAAAACGATTGAAATCGACAATTAGTTTTATTGTTTCTTATCGAATTATATTAGATTTTTTAAGAATGGTAGTACTATTCCCTTCATCCAAACACCGAAAGTTTTTCATGTACTTTTTGCTTGCTGGCACCAGAACGACTATGTCGAAATATGTCAATTGTCAATTGCTGTACCCTTTCTCTCTACTATTTCTTTTCTAAACTTAAACTGTCAATTACTTTTAGCTTCACTCAGCCAGACGAATATTTGGATCATGTATAGATGACAGTGACAACGTTGTATATCGTTGGTACAGATAATATGCAAGAATAGTTATTCGACTGCATGTTTTAGATTATGCCATCGATACAAACATTTGATTGCTTAGGGAATGGAAAAAAATCTATTTCTATAGATTTGAAAACAAAAAAGGGAGCTGATGTCCTGAGAAAATTATGTGATCAGAATGATGTACTAATAGATCCTTTTAGAAAAGGTATGAAATTTAATAAACAAAATAGCATATGTATAGATTCTTGATTAAATTGATAAATCATTTTAGGAGTCATGGAAAAATTGAGCTTGGGCCCTAAAGAGTTAATGAATCGAAACAAAAGATTGATCTACGCTAGATTAACTGGATTTGGACAACATGGCCCATATTCAACCATGGCTGGACATGACATAAATTTTTTAGCATTATCTGGTAAAAACAATATAATAAAGTCTCTTTTAATATGTCAATAATATTAGTTAATCTTAAAACTTTTAACACTTAGGATTATTATCGTTATTTGGTCGACATGGTGAAAAACCTACACCTCCAATAAATCTTGCTGCTGATTTTGGAGGTGGTGGTTTAATGTGTACTCTAGGAATCATTCTAGCATTGTTTGAACGTAATCAAAGTAATATGGGTCAAATAATAGATGCCAGTATGGTCGAAGGTTCTGCATATTTGGGTAGTTGGTTCTACAGATCTCGAGAAATTCCTGGATTATGGGGCCAGCCACGAGGAAAGAACTTGTAAGACAATAGCTTACATTTCTTGCATAAACATGAAAAAGTAAATATCTTCTTTTCAGATTGGACACTGGTGCTCATTTTTATGATACGTATCAAACAAAAGATGGAAAATATATGTCTGTAGGTGCAATTGAGCCTCAATTTTATAATATTTTATTGGAGAAATTGGAACTCTCTGACAATGAAGTTCCTCAATTTGAAAAGTTTGAAGAAAATCGTATTAAATTGGCTGAGAAGTTTAAAGAAAAAACTCAAGAAGAATGGTGTGCAATTTTTGATGGGACAGATGCTTGTGTCATTCCTGTATTATCATTAGAAGAAGCGCCTCATCATTCACATAACAAACACAATGAAAGCTTTCTACTTCAAAAACAAGATTCAGCAGTACCAAAACCTGCTCCACGCCTATCCCGTTCTCCAGGAGCATCATGTGTTATGCGTGGACCTCATCTAATTCCTGGAGAAAATTCAGTTGAAATTCTAAAGGAATATAATTTTGACTCTACTGAAATAAATGATTTAATTTCCCAGAATATAATCAAGCAAAGAAAGACACAGGCTAAGCTTTGAAATTGCTGTAATAAGGTATAAAAGCATGGAACATGAAATTTAATAAACAACTATCTACATCTGTGAATGTAGAATGTAAAACATAGGGACCGATACCATGAATAATATTCCTGGTGGTATCATATGGAACACGTAATTAAAACCGCAAAAAAATAAAATCTATTTTTCAAAAAAATACTTATTGAGTAATATATTTAAATCTTGCTTGCGACATGATTCTCTATTCGCTCTTTAGCCGTTAATAATAGTCAGAATCTAAAGGCATGGAAATTCGATTTGCAAAGGAACTGTGATTCCACTTTATATACAATGTAGTTAAACTTGCCGCTAAATCATAGTGATATCATTATCACTGGACGGTCACATAACACGAATGTACATGAAAGTGCATAACCTGTGTTAATATTTACCTTCATTCCCGGGCTTGTAGAATAAATTCCTATTGTAAGCTTACTTTTATTGTGCTACACGGCTTAAGGAAACAAGTATTAGCTAAATACTACGCGAATTTGTTCTTAGGGTACACCGAGTACAGTAAGTTCAAAACAGTTCAAAACGGCATAACATCGTAGGCGTGCATCACGCGTTTAAAGAATATCATTAAAAATTGTTCGAAAAAATCTCCTAATTGAAGTTTGTCACTCGAGTGTAGAGCGTATTCGACGCCTTCTGATTAAACGTAGGTCTGAAACGCTCAAGTTGATAATAATTCTTTATAAAACATATAAAATAGGTACTGTCAGAGATGAGTAGGGAGATTGCCAATGGACCGATATTCTTGAAACCAATTTTATAGTAAGTAGTATATCTATATATACTCGACCAATCAAAAACGTAGGTATGGTTCGACGGCCCTGCGCTCAGGTGGCGCGTTTACTCTAAAATAAAATTGGTTTCAAGAATATCGGCCCATTGGCAATCTCCCTATTCATCTCTGGTACTGTCATGTAGCCAACTGATTCCCCATGAAGCGTACTTTGTGTACGCGTAACTTGCGCTAGTCAATCACAAATTGTTATTAGTTTTCCGTAAGATAATAGAACGGAATTGCGGCTTCGCGATTGGCTGTGAGAGATACGAGGTACACTAACTACGCTTCATGGGGTGTCAGCCTGATACACGTACCGCGCAGCGTCGGTAACGTTGGCAGCATTGTAAGTTAAAGCTTCTAGGGGTTTCGAGTTCACAATGCATGATTCTCTCTAGTTAAACGCTTTATAAGCTCATTCCTGGTCGTTCCTTTCCAGACTCTTTCTTTCCAGCACGTCGCGCTGTGCACGTGGCTAGAGATATACATAATTGTAATATCGGCGAAAATACGAAGTAAATAACGTAAGTAACCATACTAAAGTAGTTCTTTTGTCTAGCGAGAACCATTTACTTTCTGTTTATGGAATATTTTATAACATAAGGCTAAGATGCGCCTTACCTTTAAATAACGTATAGGTGAATCCGACAGGGCTTTGGTTTTTTTTGCAATTCAATTTGTTCATATATTTTATTGCATTTCGTTATCTTGAAATTGACACTGTATTATAATGGACCGGTACCGGTTGCAACTTGTTGCGACACATGTTGCAACCCAGGTTGATAACTTTTACAGGATAAACACAAAATCTATAGTAGTCGGTCATTAGATTCACGACTAACCTCGTCAACGTTTCCTGTCTACTCCCCATTGACATACGAATATAATTTATTAATATTTTTTTAATCCTTGTTTATTGTAATTTGTTATCATGAATGTTTTAATATTTTTGTCTACAGAATGCCTTTGGCTCGCGATTTTCTTCATCCAACTCCAGCTGAGGAGAAGAGAAAACATAAGCTGAAGAGGCTCGTTCAGAAACCTAACAGCTATTTCATGGATGTCAAATGTCCTGGCTGCTACGCCATCAAGACAATTTTCTCCCATGCACAACATGCTGTTGAATGCGATGGTTGCCGTACGATACTCTGCACATCAACTGGTGGCAAGGCGCGTCTTACCGAGGGATGTTCTTTCAGGAGGAAGGTTCAATGCTAATATTATGTGACATACCCAACATCTCGCTTTTCATTCAGTAAATAAACACTGTGAAAACGTAACTGATGTCTGTATCTTTTTATGTCCTTCATCATATCAAATTCAACTTCCTGTAAATTTGCACGCAACATTCGCGAACCTAACGTAAGGACTAAAGGAAGGTTTGACGGTAGTAATTACTGATAAATCAATTCTTATGTCCATTAATATTTTAAGTTTCTCATAAAGTATAATACATTTTGTAGCCTACACTTAATACAATTACATTACCATAATGCAACCGACAGCAAATATTATGATCGTATCTTTTTTATTAATTTCACAGGAAATAAATTCCATGCTGGATCTTTTCAAATTCATGATAAATGTTATACTCAATGTATACAACAAATGTGTTTCTTCGTAAACCAGCTATAGAACGATCTTCAGTAACATGATATTTGCATGTCATGGGTTAGATTCATGTCAGATAATGGATAATCATGGAATGGATTTTAAATTCAAGAATGTAGAATTGCATTGTATACTTGAAAAACACCTGGAGCAACTTCTACAGAACGAGATTTCAAAGAAAGCTGAAACAAACAAAAATCATTTATAGTTCTTAACTGTATCGATTTAGTATGTTAGCAATCAGTTTAAATAGATTTACCGTTACATCTGGATTACCAGGCTGGATTTTTAGTTCATTTAATACCCAAACGTTGTTTGTTAACTTTAATGACTGATAAAGCATATCCTGTCCTTCAACGTTTCTTTTGGCAATGGTGAAAACATTGTTCTGCTGCATCTTCTGCACCACCTGATCTGCGGTGAGCATTACACCATTCAATGTGTATTGAACCTATTTCATAAAAATGTTCACATTAGGTTTCTATGTGCTGTTTATAAAATTCTTACTGGAAGATTCAATTATCGGCAACTCACTTCATTTTGAGCAGGTATGTCTTTCCAAGTTGACAAAAATACTCTCTTGTCTAGTTGACCATCTTCCGTAAAATATACGTGCATTGGAACTATGCAAGCAAAGTAGAATACGTCGATGTTGTTTTTAATGGCGACTTGGAGATTGTTTAATGGTTCCATACGCTGTACTGCACCAGCCGTGGACAAGACTATACTGACTTCTATGGAAGCACCGGGTCCCAAAGGACCGGGAACTTGCAAGGGTGCAGATGGTGTAAGACCAAAACTGTTTTTATTGAGTTGTATAGCAAAACCGCCCATAGGTTGCATAGCTTTGTTCGAGAATGTCATATCCATACTGATCTGACCATTCCTATTAGACAATTTAATATTTTTTTTAGTTTTGAGAATAGTATAAATATTGTGAAAAAAATGCAATATACAATTATCTTACTTTCTTGAGAAAGTACCCCAAATATCAAATCCTTTGCCCTTTTCTGCAGGAAGCCAGTTGACTTTGGGTGGTACATAGCATGTTGGACCCTGATTGAAACCAAAAATATCCCCAAGAAGACCTGTTGTACTTTGAGAAACTGCAGAAGATCCTGGGGCAGGATCTGGTCCTCCCAATATACTATCCAGGCCACCACCCAGAAGATCTAATCCCAATCCAGGTTGACTGGCGGGTGCAGGAGTCACGATAGCTGGGCCGCCTTTAAAACCAAACGAATTGGTTCAAGTCACCAGTATTATAATTTAAATAATATAGTTGCAAGTAAGACTCACCTATATCCATACTAAGAAGATCTCCTATCAAAGAATCTTGGGCAGGAATAACTTGAGCCTGGGGTTGATTACTGACGCGTTGAGTGGAATCTTCGCTGGAGTTGCTTCTGGCTGGTAAGGATTTCCTAGCACCGGCGGCTCGTCCTTCCACAAATGCAGTGGGTGGCTTATGATAGACTGAGGCCAGACTAGAGATATGACATATGAGTTCATCTAACAAGGTTGGTTCTAGCAGGTCTGTTTCTTCAGAAATGAGAGGTTTTTCTGCGAGGACAACTTCCTTTGCCGCAGCAGGATCGGTACTAAGTAATCTCCAGTAAATGAATCCTCGATCTCGCAGATCTGGATTATCGGAGTCCTGAGTAGCAAGACTAAGAACTTGCTGAACAAGTTCCTGAGTATCCGTCGGTCTTTTCAGGAAGAGCTTTACTATGGCTGTGAGCAGCTGCAGCTGCACTTGAGTATTCTCATCGTGGAATCCTTCTAAGAAGCTTTCCAAAAGTTCGTCTGCGTTGTCAATTCTTTCTGCGTATTCACCAATGATCCAAATCATCGAAGCACGGGCTTCCGGTTCATCCAGGGTGTCCAGATTCTCGCATAATGTTGAAATGATGCTCTCATACTTGTTGGGATATTTTCTAAAGATATCCTTTATAACGACGATAGCTTCTTGGACCACATAATTAACCTGAACAAAAACATTATCAATAATGAATACAATTACTTAGGTTTTTTTTTTTTTGTAGTTTGAAGCAAAACGATTTGTTTCATAATGATTGTAACTATACAGTATCTACCTTAGTTTGTATTAAATCCAGCAATGTGGAAACACATCTTTCTGCAGATGGTTCCACTTTAATAGCGCAACGTCCAATAGCTCTTACAGCTTTTCTCACAAAATCAACATCAACTTCTGTAGCATATTCTTTCAGTTCAGAAAGAACCTGAGCGATATTAGCTTGGGAAGCCAATCTGATCATGATATCGAGCTTCTCTAGTTTCACATAAATAGGATCATTGTACTTCACAAAGAAGACTTTCATCTCATGCTTCAAGATATCTGGTCTCTTTTGTACAATGAGATTGATGTTCCTCAATGCGACGTACTGCACTTCTGGTTCAGAGCTTAACAACGTCACCAGGGGTGGTGCTAATTTTTTTGTAAGAGTTCCAACAAAGTCTGACTCAGATTGCAACATCTCCATTAGCTTCATCAAGACCTAGCAAAACCAGATATTATTTATTATAACCAGCACTGACTAATTAGTGGTTTATTATGTATTTTATTTTAGGGAATATACCTTTACAGCAGAGAGTACAACTGCTGCATTAGCATGGGCCAAACGCGGCGTGATCCTCTCGCAAATGCTCTGTGCTTCACGATCATCTTTAGGAGAATAATTTGCCAACGAGTCAAGAATGAAGACTTGACCCCATTCAGTACACTCGTTAAGAGCTGTCAATAATTTGTTGATAGTTTGTGCGTTCATTTCCACAAGCGGCTGTCCACTGGGACTGGCCTCATTGATCTCAGAGAGCGCAGCAACAGCATTAGCTACGACCTGAATTAAAAATTCAAAAAATACAAAAAGTATGATGTATAGATCACGGAATATCACAGAGTGGCTCTATAACAAGAACACATTAGGATGTACTCACCATTGGATTGCTGTCCGACAATAGATCCTTCAACTGATCCAAAAATCCTTGATCTTCGACTAATGCTGCATTAATGTCATAGAGTTTGGCGACGCAAACAGCTGCAGTCTTGCGGACATATGGATCCTCATCCTTCAGGCACTTCCTCAAAGGTTCACACAGGTATTCGGTGATCTTGTCAACGCGTATACAGCCCATAGTACGAACAGCCAGTGCCCGGATCAGGGGATTGGGGTCCTCACAGTCCTACGCAAAAATCGGGCAAGCCAGGGATTCAAGTCTAGTCACAGCAATGGCTATCTATTTCAACCCATGAGTTTTAACGAAATAGAAAATGGTATGGGTACCTTTGTCATTGGAGATGTCGCTAGCTCCTTTTGCGTGTCAGAACGAAAAAGGTCAAATTGGTCACCGTCACCATTCTTATTTAGTTGTTAATTATTACATCTATGAGCCACTTAGCTTAGTACACGATTTGAATAGGTTATTTTAAAAAGAGCACGAGGCATTTACTTGGAATAAAGTCTATTCGATCTATCTGCTCTTCATCTTTGCAACACGTACAGGTGTAACATTTATTATTCACAGATGGAAATTGTGATGCACTAAGCTTTTAATTTAGAACGACAACGTTAACGAAGTGAGTAAAAGAAAAACATGAAAAAGGACAACGATTATAACATCGATTAAAAACATTATTTTATATAATCCTTCTTAGATTATCTAGAGGGATATTGTAAAGAAGTCATATTATCTCTCGCTCTAAGAAGGATGATAAAATTTTCGTGCAGCGCAATACACACATATAGTAATGATAAACATTAATAATAATTTTCCTCCCCTCAAAAGTAATACATGCTCGCTGCGCAGTATGTGAAATAACCCTGCATTATGTACACAGCATTGCAACTTCTTCCTAGACTCGAATGATTAAAAACCTAGATTAATCATTGCAGCAAAAGCAGTAAAATACTTTGATCACCACATATAATGTCACGATAATTAACATCATCGTGTTAATCATATTCTATTACTGCAATCTTATTAAATATCACCGAGAAAATTATATGAAGTACGGCACTTTTTTATGTTGTCATAATTTGATGATGCTAATCTTGCAAAACTGTTGCTTGTGAAATAATTTTGAATAATATTCGAGAGTAATATCGTGTATTGAATGCACGATCAATAAATTCACATTTTAAATGACTACAATTATACTCAGATAATACAACAGAAGTATTGTTTAATAACACCTGAATAATATATATTCATTAGGTTGCAATGTGACCACTTTTTACGAGATGTTGGAATAAAAATCCTGGAATTTCAAAAAGAGCCCTTTTGAGAGATAACATTATTGAATGAATAGAGATAGTTCCCCGTATGAATCGGATCGACAGAGCTGATAGTGTTTTTAATATTATTATTAGGGCTACTGCGTTTTAAACAAATACCAGTCTCGTGCCCTTTGAAAAATAAGTAATTCAATTGGAGAAAAACTCATTTTGCTTTATATTCCAACGTAGACAGCTCTGTGCAAACTGATGTTATTTGCAAAGCACGGTCTGTACAATTGATGTAAGGCAGGCTGTAAAAGGATTTGCACACTTTTCCTTGGGTTAAAAAACTTGAGCTTTATATGAAGTTTTACTGCAAAAACATTTTTCAGCTTGCCTTTATATTGACAGAGATTCTTAACATCACCCAGGTGTTTAAATGTAGAAAGAGCAAAGGTGCATTATCAAAATGTAGTGAAATATGACTGACAATCTATACGACGTTACCTTAACAAATGTGTTGACAGCCATGATAGCCATATCTGGCTGACTCTTTGCGTAGTTCATCAAATACAAGTATACCAGCTTCTTCAGCTCCAGATTATCGGTTTGCATACAATTGACAACATCAGGGAATAATGCAGACACATCTTTCCCAACAGTCATGGAAGCAATTACCTAACAATTTTTAAAAATATTTAAGAATGAACTTGATCGTAACCTGTACCTTTTCATACAACCTTTAATCACATGCATCGATATTTTAGATTATGAAATATTATAATGAAATGGTATGTGATATCACCTTCTTCACTGCCTCCTTCTTCTTTTCTTTCTTATCATTGTTAAGTTCAGATTTGAGCTCGAAAATTTCACCCTTTTTTGTAGTTGTGAAATACTTTGAGTCCGTCATCTTGACAGTCTAAGAATGAATTATGAACAAAATTAATGAAACAAATAAATCCACTAGTGATATGAAGGGAATCTCAAACACTAAAATCTAATACGCTTTATCGTAAAATTAAATAAACGGAACGAACATTCGTGGATCAATGCCCAGTATCTATAGCGAAACTGCGCTAACTCGGAAACGCACAATACCCACGTAAAAGCACGCATTGGGGCCTATTACAATCAGAATACTGTAGAAATCAAAAAAGCATTGAACAAACTTAACAAATAAAGCAAAGTAAAAGTGACACCATTGTTAGAAAATGTCGAGTTTTATAAATGATTCGGATACACTTTTGACAAATAATTACACTAAGGAGATTCTAAAGCAGTTACGCAAGCAGAAAAGAATCTTATTAAAAGTAAATTGCGAGTAATAAACGACGGGATTGTATCGAGTAGGATAAATTCTTTGCAACGATCCACATTATATCAAAAGTTACCTTAATATCTTAAAAAAGTATTATGTGCCAAAAAGTGCTGTCGACTGACAGCAGATTAACGCACAACGCCCCCGGTAGCGCTACTTGTCTTGTATTAGTGACGTACCCAGCGCTTGCGCCCAAATTATTAGCTCTGATCTATTTTATCGATAGAAAAGACCTCTCTGGTCCATTCCATGTAAGTAGAATCGGAATAAACTACTGTAATCAAATCTACGTCCAGGAGTGATAAATCGCGGAAGTGAAAACGTTACTCAAATTAGTATTTTTAAAAGGAAATAATTTCACTCGAAAGACTGAACTAATTAAAAACACAATGAACTCATTTAACTTAGGACCTGACTTAGAGGACATACTCGATCGATTTGTTAAATTTCAGAAGGTAAATAGTTAAAAGAAGATATTATAATCATTTATAATTAATATTCTATTCCAATTATTGTAACGTTTACATATTATAGACATATATTGCATTAAAAACACAAAATGCAACGCAAGAAAAAGTGATTAAAATACAACGATCAGAATTAGACATGGCCCGAACTCGAGCCAATGATTTATTATCGACGTTTGATAGCTACCAACAACGACAAAAGTTATTGAAGACTGAATTAGATGGAAAGAATCGTCTTATTAAATCTATGAATAAAACTTTAGATGACAAAAAATTCGAATATGTTCATTCAAACACAGGTATTCCCAACGAATACCACAATAGCCTGCCACAAAATGTTAATAACGAACATGGTAAATAAAAGATACAAGATTAAAATTTTATTTCCTATTAACATATTATGATATGTATTTTTCAATATATAATTTGGAGTTACTATATAGTAGAAAAATTGGAAGAAGAATTGGAACTCACACGAATTGAATTAGCCATAAAAGAAGAGGAATACAAGGACAATATGCTTTTGAAAGATCAAAAACATCAAGCGGAAATTCGGGAATACGAGAAAAAATTAAAAATGATTAATATGAAGGTATACAGTACGTTTTACTATATTTATAAGAAGCGTAATTCATGAGACCGTGTCACTATATCCTGTATTTTTGTTGATTGATAATCTGTTTATGAGAATGATGGAATAATATTAAATACTATTTAATTAATATATTCAGATGCGTCAACTAACACAAGAGACTTCAGAGACAAATTCATCTAATTCGCTGCAAGATAAAAAAGATAATAAGATTCGCAAAAGACAGAGGGGACAGTCTCAGTTTAGGTTAGAAAAAATGATATAACTTGAGTTATAATAAATGTATCTCAACCGTTTTGTCCGTTTTTGATATATAAAATTATTTTTTTTCATGTATAAATATGTGGCTGATATATAATTCAAGATGGCCTGAGTTAACAGTCAAGACTGAACGACGTCAATCGGAAGAAGCGAAAAAGACTGTGGAACAAAAATGTCCTAGAAAGAAAAAAAAATTATACAATTTGAACAATGAAACTATGGTAGATATTGCTAAGGGCCCATAAAAGTCGTTTGTTTGCAGTTTCGTAATTATATTTTGACGAAGGTCAAATATATGTATACATATGTATAACTCCATATAAATATTCCCGCGATAAAGGAAAAAATACTTTATTCTGATCACAAAAGGGTCATTAATTTTACATCGGTTTAGTTCTTATTTCAACATTATGAAAATATTACGATTATATTCTTATTTTTTGTACGTAAAACAAGGAAACATGTCTTACGCTCTTGTCAATCTATAGGTATAGTATGTGCAAGAAATGAAAATGCGTGATGAAAATACAAGAATTTTTTTCATGGCGTCAGTAAATAAAAATCATGTTTCAACGGCACTTAACTGGTCCTCACATTGATTAATGAATTATTAAATAAATAAACAATTTCAAAAAAAAACGGAAGATTTCTCAACAAAACTTCATTCTTTTAAACGTAAATCACAAGACACAATATTCAACGCATCTGCATTTTAGACATCAATCTCAAATTTCACAACAAATTTATACCGTTTGTCATATCATTTACTAATCTTTCTATGTAGAGAATTCCAACTGTTTGTGTAATCAATTTTCAAATGGCCATAAGTATTTAAATCAAGTTCCGAAGATGGAATCACTTCAACATGTTTACTGATCTTCTTCTTTATCATTCTATGCACAGGAATTTCCTTAGCTGATTCCTGAAGACTCGGGCTTGATATTCCATGATATAGACATGTCTCCCTGAAAAAAAAAATTCAATTACAATAACTCAAACTTTTTCACAGTATACAAAATTCAAAGAAAAAATTTACCTGCGATGTCCCTTCGCACGTGAAAGCTTATGCCTGCCTTTTAACATTTCCTGAAGTCCACGTTCTTCCGCAGTCGGACTGTGATGATCGAGGTCTGGAATATAGACATACAACATACATAAATTAAATCAAAGAAGCTTAGTGAAAATTAATTTAAAAAATGTTTATAATAATGAAATAACATCAAAGTTTAATGGAACAAATTAATTATCATATCGATACAGTTTGTATGTAATATTCAAATAAAAATTCATTCGTATATATTGAGTCACATGCTTGTAGGTACGTACTTATATGCATACAGCTATGCATCAACACTGAAACGATCAACCTGTAAAGGATGTTATGGTGAAACAACGATCTAGAACGGTAGGACTCGGTCAAGCATTGCTAATTTGGTAAAACGCCTTGGCACTTTATCACTGCTGATATATTATTATTAAGACAATATAATAAAAATTTATTGCGGAACACATATAATTAGCTAACGAGTATACAGCAGTATAATACTCCATCGCCTTTCATAACTTTCCTTCCGTTACGGTACTTCTAGAAAATAACACGAAAGCAGTAATATACGTCAGTTTCATGACATTCACGTAATTAATTAATCGTACTATATTTTTTTTTACTAGGTCATGGACATTATAGTAGCAGTGGACCTTGTAGTAGTGGTTGTCAATCTTGTCACACAATGAAATTATTACTCGGTCAACTCCCACAATAATTATTGTTACATTCAGAACGGATGTCAGTAAGACTTTGTCTGAGCTGCTGACCATATCGTCACTGATCAAAAAGAAGACGCAAATTAGCAAGTTTAATATAGCTCTAATGATCACATAGACAAACGTTGACCAACTGCAAACTTTAAAGCAGTAGAGAAATTGAAAGTTATTTGGAAATAAAGATGACACAAGCGAGAGCAGTTGCTCTCTAGTTTAACCAAGAAACGGGAGTATTGAGTAATTTCCATTAATCGATTTTCTCTGTAAAATCGAACGATCATTATAGTACCAACGAAAAAACAATTACAGAAATAAAACGAAGGATGCGTAACGAAATCTAAGACAAACGACGGGAAAGCGAGTCAAACGAATGAATTAACTTTTTTTTTTAATTGCACGGCGGTTTGATTTTAGACCAGGTAACAACTAAATAACACGTCTTCGTGAGTATTGCTTTTTATCAATTATATTAATTAGACTGTAAGCCGTAGAGGATTTCATTTTTAAATAGAGGTCGATCTTATTATCTCGAACGTATTAGTATACATCGATTCTGTAATCTTTCGATTTTTTTTATTTTATAAAAAGACGCTCATGCCATTGGAATTTCGATGTTGCATCATTTGCGGAAATATCAGTAACGGTATAGGTATAAAACGAATGCTGGGAAGTCGAGCAATCTCGTACTGTTCACAAACCACGCCTTCACGTGCAACAGTCAACTTTAAATAAGTCGCTTAGTCCATGTTCATTAACTGACGAAAGGAACTTGCATTCGTTTATGATTATCAATCGAAAGTTGTTTTCGCTGGTTAAAACGGGTTTTGGGGTTGCTAAGTATGACGCTTATATTCTTATGGGATTTTACATTGCCTGGAGCGAGTCAAGATATCGATTCACTTTTGAATCGAATGTAATGGTTGAAATCTTTAAACTACTTATTACGATAAACACAAAGTGGAATATAATATAAAATTTGTATTAATTTATTAACGGGCAATATTTTATTCTCTCGATACAACTTTTTATTATTGAATTGCCACTTGATTCGAACAAATTAATGGATATGTTTCATTCTAGATTGTGAGATTGTCAGTCAATGACACTCCTACAGTCAGACTGCTAGATTTCTCAGGCAGATTAGTTACTATGTATTTTCTCCATGCAAGTAGATCAGAGAAAATAGTTACGAGCATGCAAACAGTCGAAGAAAAGTAATTCCTTGCAACACCGACTATATAAAATTTGTCCTTCAAAACATTATGAATACTAAATATACTTATCTAGGATTATGCAAATATAAAGTGAAATGTAATAACGCTTTAATACTTAATGAAATTATATGTACGAATCTAATACGTTTAAAACCAGTAGCGATCGTTAAAACTTGTATATGTGGAATTTATAAATGAATCTAGATAAATAGTAAGAACTAATTCTTTGAAAAGTGGTTTATACACGTCATAATGTAGTCTTTCTGCTGCAGTGAGCTATTTAAAAATTGCATAACACAAATAATACAGTTTTTTCATAATAAAATATTTACATAATTTTATGGGTTATTCAAAACGCGTATGATGCAATGAAAGTATATAATTTTGATGCTGACTTTCCTGATGAAGGACACTTGCACAAAATAGATAACTGTTTTAAATCCAGAACGTTTATGCTAAATCTTTCTTTACGCTTGATGGAATTAATGAAGCAGACCGCAGTAACGGTTTTACATTCAAAGAAGACTCGAGTGAAAACTCTCTCAGACCGGATACACTTTCGCTGATATCAAAAAGCCATGTCATTCGATACATTCATACGATGAGATATTCATCTTCTTGTTAGCAAATTTCATCTATAATAATAATAAACATATGATATTCCTAAAAATAAGCACATAAAACACATTAAAAACGATTTCCATTTGATTTCTAATCTTTCCTTAACAAAACGATTAAGACTTACACTTTTATGGTCACTATAATGTCAGAACCATCTCAACACAGTAGTAAAGCTTTCACGATAGCAATTATTTAAATACAAATCCACGGTACCCTAATAGGAATTAGAAATTGTTAAACGAGACACGTACGTTAAAACATGGGAACAAATAAAAGCACTAAAAAAGAATACAAACTAGTTTTTCTAACAATTTTAACTAAAGAGAATGGCAACACGTATTTGAGATTTCATTGGTCGAAAGATAAAGCCGCGAAAATTAAAAGTCGTTAGAAATTTAAAATAATACTGCTATAATCAAAAGCAGTTCCACACAATTAACAGATGATGGTTATCGCACCGAATTCTTAAACACAGGACACAGTTAGTTAAGAAAAATCAAACAATCGTTATATGACGGCAATGGGAGTGAAGTCTCGCACAGTTGAGCGAAACTTCTCCCACAACTTATTATTCTCAACGGAACTTTAACAGCCGTATGCGAGTAGCATTGCAACATTGTGTAACGAGCCATCGTAGTCACACTCGGTCACAATTTGCGATTTCGCAATGGGACATACGATTCTGAGAATTCTTTTTGATACAAACATCATTGTGATCGTGATAGGAATAATACTCTCCATGAACATGTCTACGAATTATGTCACACCACTCACGGCTGTAAGAGGTTAGGCGAAACAGGAAGTGTCGATCGTCTGTCATTTTAAAAGGATGCAACATTCAAGGTGCGACACTAAATGCAAATATAATAACAATAGCAAGTATGAAAATATCTAAAAATTATTTATACTAACCAGAGAGGGGTGCATAGATGGAATGCGAAGTTGCGTAATGTGGAACATCATCCTCATAAATCGGATGATGATAGTAGCACGCATTGCTAGGATGTCTTGGTGGACCAAAATAAAGTTCCTCTACAGAAGCTGGCGCGTCATATCCTGGTTCCCTTATAGGTGGTCCATAACTAAATTGTAAGTACACAATTGAATATATATTGTAATACCATAAAAAAGCGTGGTTATAGAAACGCACGTGAAGATATTTACCAGTACTCGGCTTCTGGTCTGACATCCTGTTCACGTCGCCGATTTGAACGTTGCTGAAGCTGAGGATGAGGTTGAGGATAAGGATAAGACATAGAGGCGATACTGTGCCTGCGTAAATAAGCATAGTTCTCCAAATCCCAAGGATCGACGTATTGCCTTCCACTTCTGGAATTCGAATCGCCAGAACTACCGCCAGAAGACACTTGTGAGTCCACGGAGTTCCAATAGATGGAGGATGCCGCTGGCATCTTGACTTCGGAATATTTTTTAAAATTTTATTCAAATATCTCACCGATCTTTGTACGAGCGTTAATTTTTTACTAGTAAGGTATTATCACTCAAATTATTATTCACCGTGAATTTTTTGAAAGATGCACTCGTATAGAGTATTTTTTTAAATGGTCAAGTTAAACACTGTTTTCACGAATAATTAAGTTTTTTTTCAATGTTTTATTAGTGTCTTGATGAAACTAAGCGAGGATAGCACTGCCTGCATCGCGGCCGTGCTTTCCCTTGAGTCTCTCTTGAGTGCTGTGGCTCTTCTGCCACTCTCCTTGGCTCGTCCAGTGAAACTAAAGTTTCACACCTGCAGCGTAAACGCCCCTCCGCTTCGAAAGGTATATCCTGACCCCAAGAGTTCCTCTAACGAATCTATATGTATAGTATACAATTTCATGTGTCGCTTGTTCACTTTCATGCTGTTCTCTCTAGTTCTGCAAACATAGACTTATCCTTTATGCTTTTATTTATCATTAAAATATTTAACCATTTTTTTTCCAGACATATAAGATTTATATTGTTGGCATATACCTCTGGGGATAAAATCATTTATGGCAAAGAAACAAGATACTTGGATAAATTCAGGTCAACAATTTTTAGTAAAAGTTACACGACGTTATTCGTGTAATTAAGAATAGTGCGAAGTAGCAGCAATATTTTTTTTAATACATTTTTTATATTATACTGTCAATCTCTTTAATACGCAGAAGAGACGAGTGAGAGGTATGAAAAATGTTGATCTAGGTGTAATGTATCTTTATTATGTATATTACAGTTTTGAGAACATCAAAGTATAATGATATAATAAATGGAAGGTGTAATGGGTTTGATTATTAATATGAATTCACGCAGTTTAAATAATCTTTGTGCTACACGGCAGGACTACATTGACACAAAAATCCTCGTCAAAGGAATTGAAAAGGTGTCTTTAAATACGTTATTTGTGAGTACACGAAAAAAAAATTTCCGTTTTTAAAAATTAACTGTAATCGGCATACCGATGTAGAAACGGTGCAATCTTTTTATAAAATGCTTATAAATTCGTCAGATGCAACTCATTCTGCACCAACATTTATAGCCTCAAAACGATTTAACCATCGTATCCTTTTACGTGACGAACTAATGTTACGCACCTACATCTCTGAATGGGGAAATCATGCTGGCGACGCATCAAAAATAATTATCGACGTATCATTAAACTTTATCATAAATGGTCACGCAATAGCAATAATAATATGCCGGGATCACGTGATTAATTTCTCGCAACTGGAAAAACTATCAACAGAAGTCAAAGGAATGAATTGTCATAAAACGTTACGCATTAAAGTTAAAGCTAGACTCGACGCCTGACATACTATTTGTCTAACGATTTCTCTCGGAGTATTTAATTAAAGATTGACGCGTTAAAACCAAATTATTACAGTATTTCATTGAACGACCGCAAAACAGAGATGACGACAGACGAAGCTAAAATCGTTACATGATTAAGTAACTAGAATTCAATTTTCGCTATAATCTAAATTTTCATTTCTTTTGCAAACACATACATTATCATCAGTCTCGAGTTAACGTGATAGTTTTATCTTAATTCGAAATTTTGAGAATGCGACACAAACTTAATACTCTCTATTTAAAGGAGTGTCTTCTCGTTATAATGCAAAACTTGTCGTTCGTTTGAAGACTTTCTCCTTCTAGTAGCGTCAAGCAAATAGAGTATTGTCTATCGATGTAACTTTGTTCGTTATTTTAATATTATTACTACCATATTATTATTATAATATCTATACATATTTTCTCGCCTTGCAACAACGAAATTATTGTTTCGCAGTAAATAAAAGAAAAAAGAAATATAAATTATCGTTTACTGCCTTTAGTAGCATATATCACAGTATCAGATTCAAGAGTTTTTTTTATCGTCGGAACACAATTTTTTTTATTTTATATTTCCGATTAAACGGCTTGCAGATAGATTTTTCCACCAGTAGATATGGATAACTTAATTACTATTTTTGAATCCCTTCGCTATACCTTTTTGTCCTGTTTTTACTTGGGCTATATTAGGTTTAGGCTATATTTCACTAGCGAGTTGTATTGTTGTAAAAATTCATCATACACATTTCGACGATTCCTTAAATACAAAAATAAAGTAATGAGAATAACTTATCATGTTTGTTTGTGCTTTTCATAAAGCATTCGAGCCAAGTGAGGCCGTGTTTAAATTTAAAATATAATTTTTACAGTGCTGTTTTCGCCTCTCTTCCTCTTATTTCTTGTCTTTATAAATTTATTAAATATCAGTTTTCAAGCATATTTCGATACTCGGTAAGTAATGTACAGGGTGATTCTAAATAAGCAGTGCAGTGTTACGGTATTTTTTGTCTTGATAGCAATGCGTCCTTTTGTAATGTAATTTCAAACTGGCTCTAGTTCGTATGTAGATATATACTGTTTAACGCGAAATATATAACGCAAATATATTTATAGTCACAGATTACGACGAGATCTTCTCAAATTTTGTGACGTAAGTAATCGCAAGATAAAAATAAGGAACATAGAATTCCCGAAAATTTGCCGTAATTTTGTAAGTATACAATTAGCTTCATCTCGTTCGATCCAGAAGCAGAGAAGCTGCTAATTCTACATCATACTTGGTCTGTTTGAGAGCACCCTCGCACTGATGTCGATCAGCTAGACCGAGTCTGTAAAGTAATTAATTAAATAAATAGAGGGGTGAAATAAGAACAAAAGAACATCAATACTACTAATCATATACTACTCACCGCAAGAGAGAATCTATTTTGGCTTGTCTATCCTTGACAATCTGCCTGGCAGCTTGATTGGTATCCCAACCAGTTGCCTGTAACGCCGCCAAAATTTCTTGTCGCGAAGCATCTCCAGCTTCTTTCTGTACATTCATTATTTTACTGGCACGAAATTCGTCATTCAATGACATGACCAATTGTTGCGAAGCACCAGTCAATGGTGGACTGATTCCAGGGGGATAGGCCGAAGCTGAAGGAGCCAATTGTGTATTCACAACTGTCTCATTAAGTTGAGGAAGCAAACTACGGGCTGTTAAAGATTGAGACGATGAAGAACTAGGTTGTTGCTGTGGTTGTTGAACCATTCTCGTTGGTGTAAACTGCATGAGATTTGGACTTCCGCTCTGTTTGCTGGTCACGTTCGTATTAAGTTTTCCTTGCTGATTCTGCATCAAGCCGTTTTGAACCGGTTTAAGAGGACTCCAGGCAGGCGGTGGATTGTAAACCGGTGGCTGCTTTAAACTGGGACTGAAGTCACACGGATGATCTTGCGCGGAATAAGATCTTGGTAAGGTTTGATGATGACGAGTATTGGCTTGCAGGAGAGTGCCTGTCTCTGGGTGTTGTGTTTTCACGTGACTATGATTCCCAGTAGAGGGTACACCAAAAGTGCTGGTAGAAGGAGTGTTACTGCTGCCATGATAATTTCTTAATATATTTTGTTGAACAGTCTTGTTATATAGGGTGTTAAATTCACTCTGAGAAAGTTGTTCAAGGTTTGGCACGGTTTGCTTCAATTCTGCGTATACCTGTTCAGAAAGTACTGCTCCAGAAGTTGAAGATGGCCTCAATAAAGTATTTCGACTACCACCAACTAGCGACTGATGAAGATCATTTTGTACCTGAGTAATATTAGGCGTGGAGTTCTGACTGGATGCAGATAAGTTAAAGCTTTGCTGTTGAATGTAATTGTGACTGGTCGAAGGAAAGTTCTGGGCCTGACCAGCACTAGTATTTGATAAGTTGTTAGGATCGCTTGAGGAGTTTCCTAAGTTACTTTGTGCATGTTCTACATTGCACAGAGCTATTTGAAGTAAATCTGAACTAGCTGGCACCTGACATTGTAATAAATTTGAACTCATGTTTGATGGGTGAGCCGGATAAGTATTTTGCTGTTGAGGTTGAGACTGATGAGACTGTTGCCACATATGCCCTACTATCATATCAGTAGTGCTCTCCAACATGTAATTTCCATGAGCAATCTGGCTTTGTGGGCGTTGAATATTCGTGCTCTTTGACTGCCATTGATTTTGTACTTTCGTTGGAAGATTAGACGCGCCGCGTTGGTCGACCTGCGGTGACTTTGGTTTCGCTGATTGAGGAGGAGGACGTAACATCGGAATTCCTGAATTTTCTTGCAATTTATTCACTGACGCATACTGCGAGTTCGAAGAACTAGGTTGTTGATTAGCATTAGTATTTTTGCAGGCCTCCTTCTCACCGAGATGCTTCTCCAATTCTGCTAGAAAGGCTGGATCTAATTTCTTCGGGGACGATTGTGGCCTGGTGTCTATAGACAGCTCATTTAAACTTTGAGCAAGATCATGATTTGATTTTGGCTTTGGAGGACTTTCATTGGGCCCCACTGGAGGTGGAGGTGGAGGACCATTAGCTGAAGGAAGATCACGACTAGAAACATTTGCGTAAGCTTGAGCTTCACCTTGTAGATCTTCAGGCCAGGTTGATATATTCAATGAAGTTGGGCTGGGTTTCTCTATCTCACTGTAATGATCCTCTGTGTAACCATTTCCTTCGCCATTATCCAAATTCACGTTCAAATTTGTATTTTCACTTCTAATGTCTTTATTTAGACTTATAGAATATTGGCTGACATCTTGTGAATATTGAGACGTGTTACTTTGACTACTGCTGGTGCCATCTTCATTTTGAACGTTGCCATAAGTCTGTGGTAAAGTTTTTGTGTACCGAATGCTCAGATCTGGTGTAACGTGACTATAATACCGCGAATGTGGCGTATTTAGAAATATGCGAGATGTGTCAAAGGGATCGGATACAGCAGAATTAGCATTGCCAGGAAAATTTGCATACGGTCGTGCACCTTCATCTGGCCAGCACTCTTGTCTTGACACATCTTCAGTATCTTCAGTCTCAATAGGTTCATCAAGGATATTCACCACTCTTCGACAAGCGGTATCAGCTTGTACAGAGGTTGCATTTGCTAATTCTTCGGGTGATAAATCTATTAAACTTCCTTCTTGACTACTACCAGGTGTCGGATTGTTTGTTGATTTAACAGGACTTGCTCGAAGATCGTTTTGAAGTTTGGTGTAATTAAATTGTTTTCGTGTACGTGGTGTTCCATATTGAAATTTTTTCTTTAATTGATTCTCTGCTGTCGTGACACCTACCACGTCTGGTGGTTCCATAGGATTGCGAAGGTAGACATCATCGATGTATATAGGACTGCCCCAGCTTTTTCCAAAAGGAGCACCATGACCAGTATGAATAAATGAATTTTCTAACGGTTTACTGATGTCTTCAGGTTGCTTTCGTCTCATCGGATCGACAAGACAGCGTGGAAATGAAGCTATTTGGAAGGTTCGTTGATTTTGACCTTTCCACCAATAGTTTTCTGGTCTGCCATCAATTATAGCAATCTGATCTCCTTGTTCAATAGACATTTTGTCAGCTTCCTCAAAGCGATTCAACGCTTTCATAACAGTCGGGACCATTACGGTTAAAGATTCTTTTAAAGAGCTAAATGTAGGCCTTTCGAGTGGATCTCTAGCCCAACAACGTAGCATCATTTGATAAATAGCAGGTGAGCTGGCTTCAGGCTCGTGTAGTCTCTCACCTTCTCTGTCAATTTTACGAAGTATCTCTGAACCATTTAAACCTATCCACGGCTCTTCGCCAAAAGTTAACATTTCCCAGAGAGTGACACCAAACATCCAGACATCCGATGCGTGACTGAATTGCCGTGCTTTTAATGATTCTGGAGCGCACCATGGAAATGGAACCTTCTTATGTTCAGTCATAACATAGCAATCTTCTTGTTGCGGTAAAGCTCTCATTAAGCCAAAATCTCCAATTTTTATTTTGTCAACTGTACTTAGGAGTACGTTTCTACAAGCCAGATCTCGATGGAGGAAACGTTTAGCTTCTAAATAAGCCATACCAGTCGTTACTTGTAATGCATAATTACAGAGGGTGAGTACTGAAATATGACCACACTGTTTACGTAGATAATCCAATAAAGCTCCTAGGGGCGCAAGCTCGGTGACCATCATCATGGGCTGCGACAGTACAACACCATATAACCTGCAGAGTATTACAATATCAATGAATTATTCCTGATGGTTGATGATAATAAAAATGATATCTGAAGTCTTACCTAATTAGATTATGATGATCTAAGGTGTGCATTGCTTGTACTTCTGATACAAAATCTTCGATAACACTTGGTTGTGTGAGTGCATCAGCTTTTAAAACTTTAACAGCCACAGGTAATGTTCGTCCAGAAGGAGAAGTCCATTCTCCACGTCTAACAACACCGAAACTGCCATCACCCAGTTTAACTGACAGTGTGACATCCTTGTCCTGAATGAGACATGTTAGAACAGTAGATGTTTCAATGGGCTGTGAAGATCGTTTGGAACTCTTTGTGCTGCCAGGTCTAATTTTAGTTATAAGACTCTTCTTCCATTGATTGGCACGTTTTTTTTTCACAGCATCCATGAGTCTTCTAATACCTGGCTTTCCCAGACCAATATTTTCCAAATCTTCAGGTTGCACATAATCAAAGTGGTGCAATCGAGTGACTTGTAAATCGTCACGGATTCTGGTGAAGAACTGAGTAAGCTGCACATCATGCAAAAGCTCTTGCAGCCACTCAGTACCCTCATCATCTGCCATTATACCTCCTAATATTTAATGATCTGCAATGAGAGGAAGTAGTACTTCACTAATTATAAAGTAACAGTCAATAAACAAGCTCTCAAAACAAATAACAAACTGATCTCAAAAAATAACTGACACAAGAGTATTCAAATGCTACTGCACAGAGATAAGCATGCAATGAACTGAGTGTTTATCATTATCTCAATCTCCCTCCTAGCAGGAAATGAAATAATGTTCAACAGTGTACCAAGTAGTGCTGGTAGAGATTGACCTATGTCACTCTGTGACACTTGCCATATAATGTGAATTTATATCACTAACAAGCATTACACGCCTAATTAAAATGTGTAAGAAATAACAATTTCCATTATGAACATTAGTAATAATTTCATTAACTCCAAAATTTCAGAAACATGGTTCAAAATGTAATCAATAAGCAACTTCTCTATAAGCACTACAGGAGATATACTCTCATATTGTAAGTTAAAATGGCTTATTTATTCTAGAGAAAGCGGGTAAAAAGATTGTTTAATAACAACTAATGTCTCTTACCTATTTCTCTGTTGGTGAACAATGTTGTCCGAATAGTTAGTACATTGTTGCGCTTTGTTCAACGTTTGCTATTCAATAGCTGGTTAAATAAAACGAATAAAAAACGTATAGCAGCAAGTGCAAATCAACAAAAGTCTTCTCTAACATGATCAGCAGCATATGTATTGAAATGGTTCTTAGTTGTTTCTCAAGGTTCCCGTTTTCTCGGGCGTTGACAATGGGTGAATTCGCCTAGTTCGCTGGGAATTCCAGAGGAAGGAAATTGCACTGTTTGCTACGGAATTGGGAACAACCAACAGTCAGCACACTTTTACCGAGTGAATTTATCACGAAGTGCATTTTATCCATCAACCAAATTTCATGCAGTTATTTAACCTTAAATCTCGCGGCAAAAATAGTTCATTCGTATGGATAGCGGAAACCGTTGAGTATTACAATGCCCAGTAGGAGATCACTCAAATATCAACGCATCCTTCGACAACTAACTGGTAACTGGTGGTAACAGAATGCTAAAAAAGAATAGTATAATCACCGGCCACAAGGAAATTCTGCTTCTGTCACGGATGAGCATTTATTGTAGTAAAGATGGCAGCAGTTTCTGCAGTACGAAAATAAGACGAGGCCATTTTATCTTCTGTTGCTTATTGCAGTAAATTCTGAATGTGCAACATCCGATAAAAATAATTGTATGTTTTTATGTTAACTGAAGATATATAGAATAGATATTCCTGTATTATTAACGGAGGATACATAGATTAGTCATTCCCGTGTGTTTTATCGAGAATCCTGCCATCTGTGAGTTGAAGCAGTTATTACTTCGTAACGCGAACAAACTGTGTTCAGTCGTTACTGAATGGTAGCTTGTAAAGAAAACAAAGAAAGTTGTTGCTGAGTAGCGGTAAATCGTCACCCAGGATCTCAACTAGTACTATTCTTCTACTTCCAAAGATGACAAAGTAAATCGTTTCTGAGCTAGGGGTAAGTCATCAACTGGAAGAGACTGTAAGTTTACATAGCATGAAATTCCGTTAGAAGTAATTCCTTTGAGAACTATTTCACAGTGTAGTCAAAAATGGAATTTCAGGTCTACCAGTTTGCAAAAACTGATGTTCTCTGATACCTATTTTCCCAGCTTGTTTGCAATCGTTAGTATTCTCAGAATCCAATGGAACTTGCTCTGAATCTTTCCCGTTCTCAAGTAACGGTCGAATTAAAATTTTCGATGTTGGGAGTTTTTAAAAAACATTTCTGTCGGTAACTCTTTATGAGTGTTTACGATATCCAGGGACCCTTGGACCTTTGACTGAATATAAATAGACCGTGTTGTATTGTGCTTGCGATTCTGATATGTAGAATATATATCTATATACAGCAATTCAATAGGTAAAATACATTGGTAGGTGTCCGCGACACTCAGGCTCGCGTGTCACGGTATCCCATAAGATAGCTAGCCTATTTACCCTTCAGTGAATGGTACGACCCTATTCTTGAGATCATTCAACAACGTAGCATAAGATAATTTTCATGTCGACTGGGTTATCGCGGTGGAATTGCAAACGTGTTCCCTACGCGAATATTATTATATGTCCCATTTTATCCGTATACCTTAGAGTGAGATTACACACTCATGGTTACCGTAGAGTATGCGCTCGCAGCGTCCTCATCATTAATCCCACTCGCCACTAGAACTACAATGAAAGTCGCATACCACAGTGTCGAGTAATTTCAATAAAAAAAAAGTCCCAGGACACACGTAACACCATACCCGGTAACATGCCTAGACTATTTATCTTTAGTCAAAGTAAATACTATCATTATTTCTAAATTTCTTTCATGCCGACCAATGACAAATCAGTCAGTGTCGTTATATCGGCATTACTGTGGACGTGAAAGTCAATTGGATCGCTTTCGCCTATACATTTTCGAATTGCTTTTGTAGTTACTTTTATCATCAGATACATTAGTTGGGTTTATATAACTTTACTTAGTGTTTTACAAGAAAATGAATTCAGAACTAAGTAACCTCTATAAAAATGATCCTATTTACAATTATGACTTAGATTTTACATAACTGGTAATGCGTAATCCACAGTCTCCTTAGATAATAGAATTCTGTCCATTTAAAAAATGTTTATATTTTCTTTTTATCGATTCAACTTGACTATATATAAATACATCGAGAACACACATTCTCATTAGTAAGTATAAAAAATAGTTTTATTTGCCGAAAAGAACGATCGGTGCATATATAATTTTGAAGGGAAATGGTTAAAAAAATACAGAGGAAGTACGTATCTCTCTTACAAATAAAGAAACAAAAAAATAGCTATCAACGATGATTCTCTCGAATTTTCAAAAGGGTATAAATAAAGGGCCCAACCTTCCTTTTGAGTGCTAAAAGGAGGGTTGGTCGTCCAACGTCCCCTCGAACTCTCGGCAGTTTCCTTTTGGAAAACCAGACGCTTCCATAAAAAATGCAAAGTAAAATAAACAGACGCCAGGCCGTGAAGGATATAGCGAGTAGAGGACAGCAAACACACGTCTCCGACGGTCATGGACCATCCGAAAAATTCCCATTTTCAAGTGTTATAATATGTGTTCTACACTCGAGGCTGGTAGCACCTGCTCTCACTGAGTGATTCTAAACATATGTCCCACTCATAGGTGTCTGGCCAAATATTGATCGAAAGGATCCTTCGTTCTCCCCAATATATGGGGACCTCAAGAGAAATATATCATCGTTGCAGGTGTAATTGAAATTTCATTTTTCTATTAATCAAATATATTTCAGATCGATATTCCATCTCATAACAAAACACATGATTCCCACTTGTCTCCACATATGAACATACGCGTCGCCCTTATTGTAAAGAGTGACAGGTGTTTGCGTAAAATACAAAAAACATATTACAGTGACATATGAGAATGGATATTTTCCAAAAAAAAAAGAAATGAAATTTTTTTTTTTTCGCACTCACCACGTAATGTATCCTTGTACGTATACATTGTGTGTCCGCCTTAACGATACCTGTTGCTGCTTAACTCTCCATACTTGGGATGCACTGTGAAAAGAAACCTCTGAGCAAGTTTCGCCGCTATCAGTACGAGCGAATGTCTTCGTGCCTCTTGCGAATTTATTGCACACGCCATTTTCAAACCCACGGCGACTCACGTTCCCGCTTGGAATTCCCTTTGGGATGGAATCGCGCCTTCGCTTGTCAGTCAATTCCTCGCTATGGTCAAAGCATTCGGCATCCGTGTTTATCGACCAGCAACTTGAGGAACGATCCCGTCTTATCCCAGGGGACGTTAATCGATAGCTTCGAAGAAAAATATTCAGGAACGCATCGGGCAGCCTGGGGGGAATTTTTGAAAAAGTCGATAGATCCAATCTGAATTAAAATATTTTGCGAAGAAATATAAATTTGCTTGCCCACGAATTTTATAAGCGGATTATCGTGGCACGTCAATGAAATAAATGATAAATTGACAAATATCGTATAATCGGTAAACACGTGGAATCTATGTAATTTGAATTTTTAATTATTTAAAAAAATTCGATTTTCTATAAAAATATTATCGAAGCTCCAAAGTGTAAGCTAATAAAAATTCGGTGACTTGACATTTAGCATGTTAAATCGCCTTGAAAACTTGTTCCTCCTTGTAGAATCGCGGCTGTTTCTTTGGCGTTCAGCGCGATAAGAGACGTGCGAAGCGCGTGGACGCCTCTTATAATAGCACGTTGCGATCGGCTACCATAAATTCACGATCGTGTTCTTAATTACTCGTCGTATCGTTCGCACGTTAAGTACGTATCAATTATCTGGGAAACGATTAAGAGAGAACTCTTTACTGAACACGAGAAGATGATAGCTCTTACGTTAAATAGGAATGTCCTCGTTACTCGATGATCTACATTACCAGCTATTACTCCTAATTGCAAATGAACGAGTATCGCGTTGACAGTTAAGATGTCAAAGCCTATAGGGTAAGCATTAGCAATAGTAATGAATTAAATAAGATATTGATTTTATATATAATAATAAAAAATTTTTCTATTTCAGTGACGTACAGCTACGTGGGATCCACGTGGAGACTGGCAGAGTGTATCCTGCATGAGGATTCCCCCTTTTTTGCTATTTCTAAGGAAGAACGAAAAAAGGAAAGGAGACGAACCAAAAGAAGAATCGGTTCTTCTGAACTGAACGATCTCTCAAGGGGATGCTCGAGAGCGATCGTGAGAAGGAGGATGCACGGCAAGCAAGGAAGCTTAAAGGAGTAGCAAGAGAGAAAAGAGGACGACGTGACAAAGTGCTGCAAGAAAGTCGAATACACTGGGTGCGCCTTTAGGAGTTTCTTGCGCGATGGAATACACGAGAAAAAAGGACCGCCCAGGCGCTCGTTGAGAATTCGCAATTATATCGCAAAAAGGAAGGCGGCATGGGGGTCCGATCAGGGTAGCCACTGCCCGCGAGACAAACTGTTTCCTGGCCCGTAAACAATGCTGCCAAATAAGAGTTTGGGATGAGGTATAAATTGTCGAAAAACTTCGGAGAACCCTCGCGAATCGTTTGGATAAAAAAGTCAATCGGTTCGCTAAACTCTCTTTATTCACGGCGGCGGGAATTCTTTTGCTGTTTCAAACTGCAGCTTCCCCTCTCTCTGTCTCTCTTGCTTTATCTCATTGGTCCAGCACAGAGTCTTGCTGCTGACTGTCTACTTTATTATCCGGTCTCTATCTACCATGCAGTTTACCTTAGTGCCGTGAAGATTGTAATGGGTCGATTGCGAACCGATTAATTATTTTGGAATATAGTCCATAGGCCGGGATAGAGAGTCTGATTATGAGTGACTGTTGCGCCATGTCGATTTTTTATTGGTAATCAAATTTTATACTCCATCCCCAAAGGGATCTTCAATCGGAAGTGTAAAAGTCTTTGAGAAAATCTGGTTAAAGATTAAATGCAATCTACTCCGTTGTCTAAATAACCTTTTAATATCTTTTTTAAATTTGTCTCGGGCGTTAAAATGTGGGAGGTTCGCTAATGTATCCAGGCACTTATTAATACTGTGTTATCTGATGGAATATTTTTTTACGGCCTTTGCTTAAGTACAGCCACGAGAATTATGGATTATCTCGGTAATTTTCATTTTTTTTTTCCAAGATCTTTTTATGTATACACTGGAAGTATTGCAAATTACTGATTCATCCTTGATACTTAAATTTGGATCTCTAAGTAATCACGTAAAATTCTCGGGTCATTTAATTTCTTGTTATCTTTATAGGTAATAAAGTTAAATGATACGGATCACGTTCGGAGTGGTATTGTATTTCTTATTCGTGGAAATGGCAAGTATCAATCTATAGGATGATCATAAATTCTCATTTTATTAAAGTCGCAGTCAGTGAAGTTTAATGTTTCATGTGTTTAAGTGGTTTGTACGGTTCAGTTATATCCGATATTGTTAATGAGAAAAGATTTCATGTAATCAACCCTTAGCAGCTGGTTATCTGAATCGTTTCGTTTGATAAATCAAAATGAGAGTCAAATTTTGAGGTAATTGGATAGAAATCGGCTTGTGAATCTTTCTCAAGGTTTAATCAAAGAAGTCTGTAGTATTTTTTTTTACATTTTATTTATTATAACATGCACCTATGCATGTACGTCTGGCGATCCAATCTCTAGGCTGGTTTCTTGTGGCGCTATACTGTACCGCGAATCCCAGTCGGAAATATTATTTTGCTCGTGCTTCGCCATTCTATTACCAAGAAGGTCCGGTACTTTAGATGAAAACGTGCGCATAAGATAAGGACTTGGTACGAGATAGACCTACGTACAGGGTATCAGTGTATGTATTTAGGCCCATAACCCGGTCTCGAACATCTGCTGATTTAGGAAGGTGCGAATTACCCTCTAACTAGTCACTAAATGCTTGGCGTTTTATCACCTGCTTATTAATATTTGTGCCCTTCTCGTTTTGAAGTTTCGAAAACCTCATAAAGGCCCTGCTTTATAATTCAGTACGGATAAATATACTGAATACGAACGTTCCACTTTCGAAAAAAAAATGTATTCTTATTTTACCTATATCATACCTAAATTAATTAAGCATAACGAGTTTAAATTAGGATTCTATGTCTTTGATTTATATTTATCTTGCGCAAGATCCTCGCGGCTCGAGGCTGCCTTCAAAGGGCATCGGGATTTCTTTGTGAATAGACGCAAGTTTCTGACTGGCATAAAGAGCGAACTTTGTAACAGAACCGATCATAAAACTGCCCTGATCTCTCATATGGGCATCGCGCATAAATCTCCGTGGATGAATGCAACTGCTAAGGCATAACCGACTAACGTAACCAGGACCTTAGAGTGAGAGAGAGAGGCAATGAGATAGAGAAGGGCGCCATAGGGATAGAGCGAATGAAAGAAATAAAGGAAGAAAAAGAAATAGAAGGTGGTGCCCCATTAAAAGTTTGAGTACAAAGTAGTGCCTCGGAACAAACGTGGACTTTGATATATGCGCCTCGCTAATAAAATGTTACAAATTCGTTGCGTGCCAAGGGTAGTTTATGGTGTGTATGAGGCCTTCATCGAAGAGGCCTTCTGTATCGGCTTTTATGCTCTATAACTATGGTCTTACGGATCCCTTATGGGATTCATATCTCGAGTCTCTTCCCATAGAGGCTAGATAATAAAATTTTTAGTTTATTGAATCTGTAAAACACGGTAGCGCTTCGTGTCACTGATATGTCACTTCTGGCACGTCATAGGCAGTGTTACGTTTTTATGCTACAATTGAAATTTCGATAAAACCTGATATGGATTTTTTTTACTAAAGGGAGCAGAGAACTAAGGGATTTTTAATTATATCCGACGTATGAGCGGACTGGGATACGAGTATATTTTTTTTATATGTTAAAACAACCGGAAACATTTCACCGTACTTGACTTCCTTCCCGCAGGTACGCAGTTCCGTCTCTCGTGGGTAAATGGTGAAGAATATTAAGCATGGTGGACGATGTGAGATTAAAAAGTTGATTATACGTCACGATTTATTATACTGTGTAATTACGAGCCTGTCGTAAGATTGACTTATTCTTTATGGGATTTATTTTTTGTTTTTTTGGAAATCGTTAACAGTCGCCAAACGCCGGATTGACATAAGGATAATTCTCCTTGAACTCGTGAAAAGGCCGGATCGCCGTTTCTTCGTCGACGATTATTTTACGTTACGCCATCACCTGAAAGGGCCCCAACTCTTACCGGCCACGGGGCCGTATATTTTGACAGTTACGGCGGTCCTTAACGATCGGATTAATTTTTATGGGGCGTCGCGAAATGAGACTGCTCACGGCCACGCTCTCTTGTCGAGAATTCCATTCTGGCGTTTCAAGGTTTTATTTGCACTTTATAACGTGAAACTGAGTGTATCTGCTGGGCAGCAGCTGGTTACATGTGAATCACGACAGTCCCGATCTGATTTTGTGTGATATAATTCAAGTAAATATAAATGCGAAGGCCCGGCGATATTGGGCAGGAGATTTTTTTTGGATTTCTAAGGATTAGATTAGATCTGACCGAGTTACCGTAAAGAATTTCAAAGGATGCGAGTGGTAGGATCCTTTTTTTCGTAAACGTGAGAAAATTCGAAAAATCGTCAAGGATTTTATAGGATTTCTGGAAAGGAGGAGAGAAAAAAAACAGCATTCTTTACCGATGCTTTCTCGGTTATGGGATCAACATACGCGATATATCTATACCTTATTCTACAGCCACCCTCGCACACGGGTTCTTAAACCTTGAATGTCGGAAACCCGCAGGAACCCTTATAAACCCTTGAGAAATTTTCAGTGCGGGCGTAGCTGTATATGGTATATGGCGATCTCAGCAGATTTTCGGAAATTCTATATTACGCGCTTCAATAGGGTTGAGCATTATGTTGTCGGCTATGGTAGAATGACACGAGAGGGTGAAAATAAAGGGGATTTTTGATGGTACCCAATTTTCGAGGCCTTTCCAGGAATACAAAAAAAAGTGGTGAATACGGTGCTGCTCCAATACTGCATCATACGTTTGACCGCGGTATTTGAAAATATTGATGAACTATCGGATTTCGATCGATCCAAATATTGATCGGGCACCGGAAAGGGTATCTGAAAATGATCCAAAATGATCGGACAATTAAGTTTACCGTTCAGCACTGAATTCGTGTTTTCGTAAACTTCCCTCATTCTATGCTTTCTCTTACCTATACTCTTTTTCAGGTCTTCACGTATGTTCGTCAAAGGATCACTTTTACTTTCACGCTCGAGAAACTCGTTTCGCTATATCTTTTTCACGTCCGCAAGTGCCGCGCGCTCGCCCCAATTTTGGCACAATGGATTCGCCCGTGGAAGGATCCTTATAAAAATGGCGAACGACAATGGCTTTGTCGAGAGTTACCCCATCGGTTCGATTCAACTGGACCATCGTTCCATTATTTTCTTTGATGCAATTTTTTTTCTCTTCCCCGAATCGCTTCACAAGATTTTCATGAAAAGTTTGAAAATTCTAACGCATCCTCAATCCACGCTCTTACGTAATGTTCTCAATTGCATTTTTCCTTTTTTTTTTCTAGATCGTCGCACAACAAATCAATGGGCTTCTTATCATCGTGAATCGAATGGATTCCTGAGCTCTGACGAACGATAGCTGCTACCTGCAATAGTACGTTTGGTTGACGCGCGGCACTGCGGTAGGCACGAATAAGAAAGGGGAATCCTTAAAGGCGGTTCCCACGTAATCACGCCGATACTTCGGACCGTGAAACAATTGATCGTTGCAGGATTGTTTTTGCGTCGGCGGAATGTTTAGGTGGGCGAGGGGAATCGATACGCCACACCGTGATTACTAATGGGCCTATGGGGTCTCATAGTGGCGGTGCCCACTTAGACAAAGCATCCGTGCATAATTCGGATAATCGAATGAATGGGGTTAGTGCTTAAGATGAATTGGGTTAGAAGAAACCGAACTTATAGAATTAGCCATAGAGGTAGAATTCTCGAAGATGAAATTTAGAACTTAACGTTGAACGTTGAGAAAAAAATTGTTAACGTCTCTTATAGCACAGATGACGCGTAACGGGTTTGAAATTATATTTATCGTTATTATACAAGATATTCATTAATTGCTATTCTCATAAATATCGATTCTCCTTAATACGCGATTGCTGCTTTATTACTATTCATAGAGAGGACTGTCGTGCCTTATAATAATAATATTTTATTATTTTCAGATGGAAGCTGCGCATTTGATCCTGGCTACTGAATACGGATCGGATATCGGGCCACAGGGATCAATGGAATGCACGGTGCGTGTTCAGTGCTAATTGCCCGCGTGCGTTCGCGTTTTTATCCCGCTGACGCAGTAGTAGCACATCAATCAGTGCCGACTAATCTCGCAATAAGAAAACGAGATGATCTCATGCGTGGGTTATGTGCAAATATCATCTGGCATAAACAATTCTTGAAAGCAAAAACAGATAGAAAAAAAATGCAAAAATTTTGCAGACACGCTAATGGTATGAAATGTACATTATTAAATATCAAGAAAATTATCATAAAGTATAAAAGATTAATTAAATGAATCTCCGCACTGTTTATGACGGTCTAGTGGTAGAGGAGATAAGAGGGAAGGAAAGAAGAGAAAAAAAAGGAAAAGAAAAAGAGAACATGAATAAAAAAACTGAATCACTGATCGCAGACAGGAAGTCGCGATAACTGAACGATCCTTGCAACTTTATAACATTTGACGAACCGGAAATGCAATATGGGCGCACGCCGCCGCGTGTCCACGTTCCGTAAAACGGCAGCCGACGTTTCGCCGTGACAGAAGGAATGAATAAAAGATGGCACGGTCGGCTTAGTCATTAACGGCTACGTTAGGAAGACGCGTAGGAATCCACCAGTGGGAAGGAGCAACGTGTTACGGTCGACGAAGAGATCTGCATGCACCTTAAGAAAATTAATAACGAGCGATGTATGCAGAAGCGGCCCCCTGAAAAGTGTGGAAGCGGAGTGGAAAAAGAGAAATGGGAAAAAAAGAATATATACGTCGCAGGACCAGTGGAAGAAAATGAACGAACCCTGTATAAACTCTCTTACGGGAAACGGGGCCTCACTTTGCAGACGTTCCAGAACGCGTCACGACGCCCGTCGTCGTACGTCAAAGAGTTTCATTCATCTGCAGGCCGGCTTTCGCGGCAAACTTCACTCGCTTGGACACGTGTGGGCCCTGAGGCCCTCACCATTGTAAAACGGGATTTATGCCCTTTCGTCGTACTGCGCCGACTCCTTCACGTTATCGGGGCCTTCGCATAGGCACAACAGACGTATGCTCGTAATTATGTTGGGCGGCTGTCGCTGGCATTTGCGCTCTATTAATATTAATTACTACCCGACCGGGGTTAACCTCTAAATATTGTGTAAACAGGCTGAACGACCTTACGCACTTATTTTCTTCTTTGCTCTTTCATTCCACTTTTGTCTCTCATTTTGTAATATTAGTCACTGTTTGCTCATAAAAAAAATAAGGTTTCTATATATAAAAATAATTTTTTTTTTTTCACGGATCGAACTCGAGGCTGTTAAGTAAGCTTGAAAATCAACGGCTACACGTGGCTACGAGAAGATGAAGCTGTAAGAACTGGATGGCGAGTTCAGGATGAAAAAGATAGTGAAGGTATGATAAGTCGTCTCGACATTTCCTCATTGAAATTCTGACGTGACTCTAGCTGGCGTGCTTGTCACCGATAGTCTCGTGGCACGCCTCTTTTCCACGGACACTTAGCGGACAAAAGACAGTTGCCGGAGTCGGTCTTCATATTGACGCATTCTTATCGGACGATCGAATATTTCTCCCTTGTTCCTGATATAGTCCTAACTCGTTCGAAATTCTATCTGGATTTTACCAATGACTGAATATATCTATACACCGCACTGCGGAGTAGAAACTAACCGTCACTATAGTGACGTCTTTGGACGTGGACTCTAGGCTTTCTCTATACACGAGAATGACAATGGGTCGTCCTAGACGCGTGGATCTATCGAGCTTTTTATCGCAGGACTGAATGCATTAAATAATTTTTAAAATGCACCGTCCCTACACTCCATACGATTATTATTATATATACGATATTATGCTGAATTCGGTAGTGGATACGGAATTAGTTTCTTGGGAAAGTCTACGGGGACCCTTATGCCTCTCCATAAACCGTCGAACTCGCACCCCGGGTCATTCCAATGGTATTGGCTACCGAAGATAAGGATTAAGACACGAGAAAAATCTCTTCACTCGTAACTTAGCCATAAAGAATTTATTCCTCGTAGAAAGATTGCCCTCTATGGGACTGAGATGGATTTGAATTAAATATCTCTGGAGCATACGTGGGTGGACTACTTAGGGCAGATGACTACTGTACGTCTTACGAAAGGAAATTGGATTTTATCGTTGACTTCAGTCACGTAACACTGATAATAAAAATTTTTTATCTTCACCGATATGCCTTCAAGAATATATTTCTGGGTCGAAAAAATGAAGCTGAATCTGTTTTTTTGTTATCGTTGCTCTTTTTTTTTAACCAGGCATACGGTGTAGTCGGATCGAAAAATTCCAATGAAATATCTCCCCATTATTTTATTCTAAATTCGATTGGTCCAGGGTACGAGAGGCAGGTGATAACTTATTGAGAGTTTGTATAGAAAATGGTCCTCCGGCAGCTAGCATTCTCTTGTTAGAGAAAGGGCTGGGTATCTTCACGTCCATCAAACGCATATTGAATCATAAGAGGACGATGAGGACCCATTGTTGTCAAACCTTTGAGTGCTCTCTCTTTTTCAAGGTCCTCGAGCCATCAGCCACAAGATTGTTCATTAAGTGGATTCTCCTGGCGAGGACGCTGCCGAAGGATACCTATATACCTTGTGAAATTAAGATTCCACTTTGTTTCTCTCTTTTTGCTTCTTTTTTTTTCAAATTCAGAGACCAGAAGGAATCATTTTTGTTATATGCTTCGTTCACTCAACCCTCTCGACTCTTATCCTTTCACGTATCCTCGTTAACGCGTTCTCCGCCTTGTGATGACGAAATGAAGAATCCTGATGACTTGGGCTGTTAAGAGAGTATAGCCAGGCACGAGTGATCCTCGCGAATGAAGTATATATATATATATATATAATATATAATATATATATATATATATATATATATATATAATAATAATAATAATAATAATGACTCACATCCATGGTTGAGTCATTCTCAAAGGCGCGTATGTAATTCTGGAATAAAGGAGTCCCTGTTCCGCTGTAAATTAGACCTAATTAAGTTCCCGTTTGTGCGAAGCATGCGTCTCGTGTTCTGGATAGGTTTTGGTCTGGCAGGTTTCCCAGAACGAGTGAGAAAATTAGGGGAAGCCACCACGGGGTTCCGTCTTAAGAGTTCACGTGGCACGTGGGTGGCTAAGGATCTGTTATGTTTTAACGCGGATAGAAATATCCATATAGTTATTTGTTTCCTATTTTTTTTCTTTTTTTTTTTTTTTTTTTTTTTTTTTTTTTTCGTTAACAGGATAATAATCCTTCTTACGGAGATACCATTGGGATCCTGTTTCCGGTGTTTGGTAGCGCTGATGACTTGTTGATTTTTTTTCTCTCTCTCTCTCTCTCTCCCCTTCAAGCGTGACTCGTTCTCGTTGAATCATTTCGTCAAATAATGAAATTCCACGATGTCGTTATCTTGTAGGAAATGAGATACGTGATTGTCATACGATACGAGCCATCAGTCGGCGAGATGTCGAACGTCCTTCCGAGGTTGTTGGCTATTGTATATTGTATCTACTCTATCCCAGACAAGATGGTGGGAATAGGAATCGTGATGGAATTCGTCGGCGTCAAGACTCGTTGTTCAAATGTCTTCTGGTAGACAATGAGTAGTACTATAGTAAGAGATAAAGCTGAGAGAGAAAAAAGAAAATATGAACAAAGATAAAATAGAAGATACATCATATATATATACTATACCGGTATAGTTAAGAATGTCAAAAGAGGCGGCTCCCTCTGTACCATCGGTATATGCTATACTTATAGAACACCGGCATAGGTAGATTTCTATGCTACCTACTGAGAATCCATCGTAAAGAATTATTCAAGATAAAAAATGTGTAGGTCGGGCACCGCAATGGAAAATACGAGTGGAAATAAAGTCTCCGGGAAATCAATACCTATCGCGTTCACGTGAAAGAGACAGGTCGGAATTGCTGGTTTAATCGAATATCCTGATATCTTCTACGCCGAAGAATGCCAAGGTGTTCCACGAACCGAATTTAACTACACTCGACCCTTTCGCCCGGCGAACCCGATCTTATTTGTTTTCTTTAATTGACTTCTGATGTTCCCCATTGGATGGACGAGACTCTCGGGACCTTGCGAGGAACACGATTTTAAGTATACCTGTATATATACGCAGTACTGCCAAGCCCAACCTGACACTCATCCATTTTTACGTCCCTTCATAAATCCATATGGATGGTGCCCATCCACATGACCATAAGAGTCCTTGTATACCATATGTATACCGGAGACCGAAAGTCTATTTAAATGGATGCAGGCGTGTTCTCAGATAGCGAATCCTTGGGCCTCTGGTGCCGCCGCCTGGTCGATTCCATGGAAATCGTTAACGAGAAATCAGAGAGAATGAGGGTCACTACCGACTGCCGAGGATATTGTGCTGTATTTCGGACAGTGCTTTTGTGCCGAAGAAACAGCAGAAACGGATCAAGATCGAATCGGTATGGCGTTAACGATCCTTGATCACTTAAGACTCTCGATCTCTGCTATGGATATTTCGAAAAAAAAAAGATCTAAAACGAGGAGCAATACAGGTGGGCCCGTAGAACCAATCTTGCGTTCCTGGGCCCCAATAGAAATAAACTAATTTGTTGTGCCCTGGTATCCGTCTCCCTCCTTCTCCCCCCTCTCTCTCTCTCTCTCTCTCTCTCTCTCTCTCTCTCTCTCTCTCTAGTCCCTGCCGAACCACTTCGATGAGACTTGAGATTTTTCGAGTCATCCTCTTCGGGGAGTTTAAGACGCGCTTACAAGATTGATTCTAAATTGATTCGCCCGCGGCAGTCAAGGATTTTTCGACGTCATTTCTGTACCGATCGGCGTCCCGACTGACCCAGATTTTCTTACCGCACGAGACGCCGCGTGGTCGATCGAAATGAAAATAAAAGAAGAACAACGTATCTTGCGGTGGTCGCTACTTATCAGGGATTCCGGGAAACGGCGTGGGGCAGGTTTCTTATGTGCGAGGAACACGAGCGAATAACTTTCGAAGAAAATCCCTTGGGGTAGAAACGGGCAATTTCACTGGATCGCCGTGTAGCTTAGGTCTGCTCACAGAGGTCTTACGTCCGTCCGGCAGTTGCTGTTTGCAAACTGGCACGAAAGAGACTGTGACTAATTTTTTTATTGTTAAAAAATATACCTTCTTTCCGTTATACACAGTTTGAATAGTCATCGGGTACACATTATTCTTGCATGTTACTAGTACTTTGCTGTTCTTTTTGGTCTTCGTAAACAATAGTTAAACATTATTTAACCGCTTCGCCTTGTCAGTCAGACTGATCGTATGCGTGTATAGAAGCAAACGACGGTTCGCCGTGCATCGACGTATGTGCATAAATTTCGAAGGAGCGCATAACAGAAAGGAAATGAAAGGCAAGTGAGCAAGTAACCAAGCACGGAGGTATAAGAAGTCAGGAACTTATACGAGAGATATTTCATCACACGGATATCTGCAGATTTCAATATAAAGCTTGCATTTCGAGGTCGAGAAATTGATGTTGGTAACGAGAGGGAGAGAGATAGAACAAAAAATTGTCCTCTTTCCGAAGGGGAGTAAGTACGTAGCTAAGAAGGGAGATACGAAGGCTTCGAAGGTAGTAGGTGAACCAGGAGGCATAAAGAATCCGCAGAAGGATCATAAACCACGTGATATCATCTTCTTGGCAATGCACTGTGAATGGAAGGTTTTTACGCTGATGACTTTTGGAGATTGATTTTCGTGATTTTTATTTAAAGGGAAACAGATTGACAGCGAGTTTGGAACGAATTGAT